CACAGTACCGCTAGACTGGGCGATAGAGCACTGACGGGTCTCTATGGCAGACAGGGTGTCGACAAAGTCAGTGAGGGTGAGGTCAGCGGGGTGGAGACTAAGGAAGCGATCGCGGGCGGTGGCAAGGCGGTTAGGGAGGCGGGTGGCAAGCAGGTAGAGGGTAGAGCAGATGGGGGGCTAAAACACATGAAGCTGAGCCTCAGTGCAGGCAGCGCTCCAGGTCGCGTCTAGTGTGCGCAGGTGGGCGGCTAGGTCAGCGACAGTGGGAAAAGACGCAAGGTCAGGAAAGAGCATGGGCAAGATCAGGCGACCTACAAAGGCATAGGGCAGGGTGGAATAGCGCGCAACAACAGCCTCTAAGAACTCCTGCGCAGTTCTGACGGACCTAAAGCGGTGGCGCTCGGACACGGGAAGGGCATGACTAATCGCAAGCTGTGCAACAGCGTCACGCGACAACCAGACAGCACGGGCAAGGGCAGTTGCTGCAGCGGACTCATGGTCAGCAGAGGTGGGGTCAGCGGGGAGGGCAGCAGGGGGGTCCGGGCAAGGGAGCGTACCGTCGATGTGGATGGCCAGGGAGTGGCCGTCCTGCCGCTATTCAGTCAAGTGTCGCTGGAGGTCGGCGAGCCACGAGTCGAACTCAATCGGCTGCCCCTCAGCATCAAAACGCAGGACCGAGTCCGCCATCATGGTTGCAGCAGCAGGAGAAAGACAGTACTGGGCAGGAGAGCGCAACGGAAAGCGATGATGTGCGGTGCAGTGTGGTACTATGCAGTGGAGGGAGGTGCAGTACGGTAGGGTGCAGTGCAGTGCGGTGCAGAGCGGTGCAGTGCAGTGCCGTGCTGTGTAGTGCGGTGCAGAGGGGCCGAGGACGGCAGCGAGGCGTCTAGAAGACGGGGCCGCGGGCGGCAAGGCGACGGGGCCGACAAAGAGGCGGGGCCGTCAGGGAGACGGGGCCAACTGGGCATCGAGGCCGGCTAGGAGGCGGGGCCTGCTGGGAGGGGAGGGGGCGCGAGGTGACGAGGTCACGAGGCCGCGAGTGACGAGACCGTAGGGCCGCGGGGCTGCTAGGTGACGGGGCCGCAGGGCCGCGAGGAGACGGGACCGTGGGACCATTAGGGGACGGGGCCGCGGGGCCGCTAGGTGACGGGGCCGCGAGGCTGCTAGGGGACGGGGCCGCGGGGCCGCTAGGTGACGGGGCCGCGGGGCGACGAGGCGTCTAGGACGTAGGGCGGAAGCGCTAGGGGTGGGGGGGGGGGACCTACCTACTCATGATACCATGTTCAAGTGAAAGAATGTCGAGAACAAGACATACAAGGGAATATAACCTAATGGTTTGTACTCCCTAAGGCACAACCCTATATAGTCTACAGAAACATACAATATATGTCTGGCAATGAACTGTCACTATCTCGGCTAGGGGGTGTGTCGACAAATATAATTACCTATGTTGGCTAGTTTATTTTCGTTGTAAGGTCAGTTGTTAGAGGTACAGTCCGACCTCTGTAACCCTCGACATGTTCTCGTAGTTCATCATTCTCTCGACAATCTAACACTATATAGATAGCTACCGAGGTTCGTTTTTTGTAACCCCTAGCAAAACGGATTGTAGAGGAAAAGTCAACAGTGATTTTTATAGGCTTGTGTTTTTGTTCTGTATGGTATAGGGTGTCCTGCATGCGGCTTCGTGGCTTGCATGTATTGTTGCATTTGTTGCACGAGTTTTTGTTGGGCAGGTTCCGCTATTGGTACGATTGATCTACACAGTGAGGCCATTGGCTATAGCAGGGGAATACGGCTTTATAGAATGTAACGGCAACTTGGAGTGTTCCGCCATGGAGTGTTCCATAAAAGAGGTGTATTCACGCCCCAATTCCGGATCAGCGCCCAAAATAGGCGGGTGAAATGCCGTGTTTGCTTTGATTTTTCAGGGACTTTTTTTTGTTAGTCTGGAAAAAACAAACTTACGACATTGATTACCCTGATCTAAAAAGTGTTACGACAAAAATTCCCTTACTAAAACAAGGTTGTGGAGCCCCCGACCCTGACTCACCAGGGTGTCATGAAAACTACCCTGGTACCGATAGTCTGAAATTTCGGTGAAGTCCCTCGCGACCACAAACATCCCCCCCCCCCCACCCAAACATCCTGCAACCCCGAAAATTCTGTTAAGTCCCTCGCGGCCAGAGACATTCCTCCCACGCACCCTGCAAACCTGATTTTTTCGCTAAGTCCTTACAGCCAGAGACGTCGCTCCAGCAGCAGCACCCCCCTTTTCCCAACCCATAAATGGCTAAGTCCTATACAAGAGATGCATCCCACTCCCCTATTACCCTTTTTTCTGCTAAGTCCTCCACGCCACAACAAGACACGTCACGCACGCCCCTCCCGCACCCAATCACGACCAGGCAGTTGTTTTCCTGCCATGCTGTCGCCATTGAAAACAAGATTCTCCACACGCCCCGAATTCGTTTCCCGTCGCACCCTCCAATCTCGCCGCGCACACGCAAACCCGCTACAATACAGGTACATGTTTTTTTCCCTCACGCGCTGCCTAGTTCAACCCTACGGCACATGAACACCCGCTTGCAGCATGCGCGTCATATATTGTCACTAATGAAAGAAGTCCAAGCCAAACCTAGGCAGGGTGCCAAAAGTTTCACACTTAGGGCGGATTCCTATGACCTCGCGTCAGACCACATCAAGTCAGACTCATGCGGTCCTGCGCAGTGCACAGGCTTGATCCCGCAATTCGATGCGGTGCGTCTCGGTTCGTTGCGAGTCTGACGCGAACTGTAGGAATTTGCGCTTACAGCAAAGACTTCGAAAAAGTTTACCCTATCAAATCTTACTTCCATATTTTTTCTCTGACCGTCAGGGTTTTTTTTTTTTCTCCTCTAATTTCTAAGAGTGGCCTAAAAGCAATTTTGGGTCATGTTCCGGATAGATTTGGCCTTTCGTATCTTTTTTTTTTTTCGTTTGCTAATGTTTGACAAATGCAGCACCCGATATACGGCCCGCTGTGGCCCAATTAGCTTATATGACCGAAATGCGCAAAATCTCAATTTTGGAATTTATTTGTGCGCGACGTCCAATGATTTTAAATTGGGGGATACTGCTTGTAGTTCTCTCGAACTGCGCCTGGAGCTCGGGAAAAATATCGCGCCAACCACAATGATGACGAAATTGGGCTGGCGCGAGCGGAAAAACATTTCGAGACGAGCGGGAGTTACTTCTACTGACCATTCGTGGAACATTTTTCCTGCAGTTTCTGACTAACGGTGGAACCCGACTGATGAAACTTGTTGCGAACTCGCTAATTCTAATTGTTTATATCGTGTCACTGATCGTACTTGTTATCCAGGCCCCTAATACTGAGCGTCGATATACTTTTCTTAAAATGAAGAGTGGATAAGCTATAATAAACTGGCAGCTAAAGCTCACATTGGATGACATTTTATGTATACTGGCTTGATAACTTTTGCAGTCTCATTTTTGGTATCGCGTATGAATAACAGCCCCAAAGCTTTGAAGTCGAATGTGCCATTTTTTTTTAATGCCTTCTTGATGTTGCATTTTGTACGCCATTGTGTCAAACTCCCAAACCTCCATATCTTAGCGAGCTGTTGACGTTTAGCGGAATGCAAATATGGAGACCAGATGCACAGCACACGTGCGGTATGGGGGCAAAGGGGGAATATGTGCACCAACTTACCGCAAAGTGCGCTCCCCCCGCCGCACAGCTCGGGGAGGGGTGGGGGGGAGGACATGGGAACACACTGCCCACAACACACTGCCCCCAACCATCAGTTTTTCGCCCCACCCGTCCGGTCGAGTGGCAACAGCACTTTTCCAGCACTCAAACGTGCTTATCAGTTTTTTGCCACTGGCTTATCTTCTCGCAAACGTCACCCCGCCAGCCACCTTCTCATGTCTCGGGCAGCATCCCTTTCAATTTGCGCTCCTTCCTCCCCCTCCTCACATGGAATTCTCCCCAAGAGCTCTTGTTCTCTTCCCACCAGCTGTGAAATTGTGAATGCCTGCCAAGCTCCCCCCATCCCCATTCTCTCTCTCTCTCCCCCCCCCCCACCTTCCCCCCTTCCCCTTTCCCCTTTCACAGGACAAGACAGAACCTGCACTTCCCCGCATGTTCCCGAACCTGAGAGAAATGCCCCTCGTCTCTTCCGCACGCTCTCTCCCGACTTCCCCGGCTGCCAGAAACCCCCACTCGGGCTGCCAGCGAGACCGCAGCGCAGCCACTCAGGCTGAGCAGCGCACAGACCGCAGTTTCACATGATCCCATCCACCGCCGCCAACAAGCCACCCGTGCATGATAGGCGGCCACTCTCCACCCTCCGCCCGCACTTGTTCGCTTGGGCCGAACCTCTCACATCTCATATCACCTTCAGAAGTTTGGACGACAACCGAAGTTTGGACAGGAAAGTTGGTTTCTCAATCTGTACACCTATTTACCCTGAAAACAGAAGACCCTAGGTTTGTTTTCCCAGTTTACCGTTTTCCGAGGCCCAGGACTCCACCGAAATATACACTGTAACAGTGTGATTTAGCGAGAAATTGGCGGAGTAGTCGAGTCTCTATGAACTTCTTCGGTTTGAGGAATGTCAGATTATTCTATATTTAATAACACGAGTATACCCGATAATTAGACTGTCATCCCGAGAGAGATGAACTGTTCCTCTCTTGTCCACACTTCGGTTGTCGTCCAAACTTCTGAAGGTGACCTCAGTGCACAGCGACACTCCTCTTCCCCCATCCACCCACTTCCCCCCAGGATCTGTCCCCCCGGCAGTTCAGGTGGATGGATGGTCCTCTCATATCGTCTCGTCTCGTCGCGTGAACAGACGACGTTCGCCCGATGAACCCTATCAGGTAAAATAAGGTGGCACAGCAATAGGCTATCACCTCTACTCCTCAGGAAGCACCAAGGAAACCTATTTTGTTCCCTATCATTTTGGATACCGAAAATGCAGCTCTACGCAATTACATCGTGGCTGTGAAGTCTGCGGGGGTCGATTCTGGTCATAGCGTGCGCTTGAGAGAAAAATAAAACGTTTTGCCCCAAACTTCTAGCGTGCGAGAGTTTCCGCGACAGTCTACGGCTCTGTTACGAACAGTCGCCAGGGAAATTCGCTCCTGAGCTCGTGAATTCCTTTGCTCCAGCTTGATAACTCCTTCTCCCTCCAGTTTTGAGAGCCTCAATGTTGAAAAGAATTCTTCACGATGCGCTTCTCTTCCTCTTCTCTCGCGGTTCCGGGTTTTCCGAGAAATGCGTCCCATCGTCCGACTCTCTGCACATCGCAACACCCAAGTCCCGACAACCCGCGTCCTTAACGGACCGCAGTGCGACCAGCCACGCGGGCCCGTCCCTGTCACCGCCGCGATCGCGCATCCCGCAAGTGACTCCGCGTTTTGCGGGGATCCGTTCGACCTCCTCTTTCGTCTCCAGAGCGTCCGCTCGGCGCGCTTTCCTGTCGCTGCTGCTGCTGCTCGTGGCGACGGCGGTTCTCCGGTCGTTCTGCATCACGTGGCGCTGCGCCCATGGCGGGAGAACGAGTCGTTCCTCCGCATTCGGCGGCGGGACGGCCGGTGGCGACGGGATTGCGGAGTTCGGCGACAGCGTTGCGACGGGCGAGCGACCAGTGCTCGATCTGCGACGAAACTCCCGTTTGTGGAACATTGTAATGAGATCACACGGCGAGCCGTCGGATCAAACAGCGCTTGACGATGCACACTTGGAGTCGGAGTCGACGCGGGAGTCGACGGGGGAGTCCCTGACCCCGAACTCATGGCCGCTCGGCGAACCGCGGCTCTTCGTTCCGCTCCTTGCGTCCTCTCCTCCTTTATCTAGTAGTGCTGCCTCCCTTTCTCTCCCTACAACCACTACTGATTCCACCGCTACTATACCTCTCCCCGCCCCCCGGGAGCATCTCACAGCCACAGCATCAGCGTCAGCGTCAGCGTCTCGCACAGGGCGGCATGTGCTGCCCCGCCCGCAGACCTGGCGGCCTTGGACTCATTCCGCGCAAGCAGCGGCGGCGGCGGGAGGGGCAGCACCCGACAGGCTCTCCAGCGCCGTTGCTGGCGCGACGGGGGAATTGCGGAGACTCCTCGGCGGCGTCCGCGGTGGCGGCGCCGGGAGCGCCAGCTCGTGGGTGACGTCACGTATCCGAGCCGCCGGCGTGAACTTTAAAAGTGGATGGTCTACCGTGGTTGCGCCAGCGGCGCCGATAGCAGGAGCGGCGCCGTGGCGGACGAGCGGAGCGGTGGTGAGCTCGGAGGCGGCGGAGGGACGGGGGCGCGGAAGTAGTCAAGGCGGTTCAGCGGAAACGGGGGATGGGTTAATGATGGGCGGCGGGGCACAGGAGACCGCGGCGGGCGCAGCGGCTGTGGCTGTGAGAGCGCATCACACGGAGGACGCAAGGGAGGGCACGAGACGCGCGGAGGGGGCAGAACATTTCAATGAGGGTGACTCGTACTCATCGCTCGATGCGTCGCACGAGGCGTCGCACGCGGCGTCGCACGATCATGACGATGTCGCATGGGACGCGGAGGCGGACCCGATGGTGCGCGCGCGCATGGTGCCCGGGCACGATCTGGACGCGGCGCTGGCGCGCATGGACAAGCGGCGGCCCGTGATGGTGACTATAGCGAACGCCGCGTTCCACGACATGCTGCTCAACTGGTGGTTCCACGTGGCGGAATCTGCGCGCATCCCGGAGAACGTGCTCGTGGGCGCGCTGGACCGCGGCACAGCCGAGGTACTACTGATGCTAGTCGCAGTGCTGCTAGCAGTGCTACTACAGCTACTAGTGCTACTAGTGCTACTACTAGTGCTACTAGTGCTACTACAAGTGCTACTAGTGCTACTAGTGCTACTACTAGTGCTACTAGTGCTACTAGTGCTACTACTAGTGCTACTAGTGCTACTAGTGCTACTACTAGTGCTACTAGTGCTACTACTAGTACTACTAGTGCTACTAGTGCTACTACTAGTGCTACAAGTGCTACTAGTGCCTCTTCTTCCCCGCATCCACTCTCCCCCTCCTCTCCCCTCGCCCCCCTCACACCCCTCGCCCCACCGCGCAGCTGTGCAGGGAGCGCGGCATCCCGCACATCCAGCTGCGCACGGGCCTGCCGTCGGACGACTTCCGCGCGGACGCCGCCACGTTCCAGCGCATGGGCGCGTGCAAGACGGCGCTGGTGGCGGCGGTGCTGGAGCGCGCGCGCGACGTGCTGCTGTCTGACACGGACGTGGCGTGGCTGCGCGACCCGCACGGGGAGTTGTACCACGGGGCCATGCGCCACGCGGATGTCATGGTGTCGTCCGACTCGCTCTCACACGCTAACGACGAGGCCAGGTGAGGCGGGTTTGAGTCAACTCTCTGAAGCATGTACTACCATGGGGGCCCATGCTGCATGCGGCATGCGGATGTGATCATGGTGTCGCCCGACTCGCTCTCGCACGCTAGCAACGACGACGAGGCCAGGTGAGGCGGCTGCGGTGGGCTGTGGGACGGATGGGTGTTGTTTGATGGGCGCCATGTGGTTGTTATTCACATGTGGGTTGGCTGTGAGGAGGCTTATTGTTGGACTCCCCCCCTGTGGGTCATGCAATATGTTGCCAAAAGCCCATCTCTGCTCCCCTCCCACCATCGCCCCCCCCCAACCCCCTCCACCCCCTCCCCACCTCCTCACCTCCCCCCTTCCCCCCTGCCCCCCTCCCCTCCCCCAGTCTGCGTGCGGACCCTCTGGCAGACAGTGACGAGGAGGACGGGTGGTTCAGCAGGGCGACGCCACGTGGCAAGGAGGTGTTTGGGAACGCGTACGAGCACGCACTCAACACGGGCGTGCTGCTGCTGCGCGCCTGCCCGGTCACACTCGACCTCGCCCTCGCATGGCACCACGCCATGAGGTCAGCCCGGCCCCGCCCTGCATGCATGCTCCTGGCCCCACCGGTTTCTCCTTCCCCCTCCTCCCCCACCCCCCCCCGTTTCCTCTCCTCTCCTTCTCCCCCCTCCCCCCTCCTCCCTCGCCTCCCCTCCCCTCCACCCCCCCGTCCCTCCTCTCCCCCCCACTCCTCTCTTTTCTCCTCAATTGTGCGGCCACACACACTCACATGCGTGTATCACTCGCGGCTTACACACCGACAGCCCTGGAAACGCGCTCACCTTCCCCTCTCCCTTTCTCCAACCCCCCTCCGTCTCCCCTCTGTCCCCCCTCTCTCCCCCCTCTCTCCCCCCTCTGTCTCCCCTCTGTCCCCCCGCTGTCCCTCGCCACACCAGGACCAAGGGAGCGAGCGAGGGGTGGGAGAGCCTGTGGGGCGACCAGCACGCGTTCAACCTGCTGCTGCGATACCAGATGTTCCCCATCCGCGTCGTCACCGCACCCTTACAACTCCCCTCCTCCACCACCACCACCGGTACCACCGGCACCACCAGCGGCGCCACCGGCGGCGGCACCAGCCAGCAGCAAGGTCACACCACCGTCACGAATGGCGCCTCACAGCATGGCATGCCAACTCTGGGCGGCCCTGTGGACGAGCTGTCGGGGCGCAGTGTGGCGAGCAACCGTGTGATCTGGGCGTTCAACGCGCGGCTGCGCGTGGCCATCCTGCCGCTCGCACTCGTGCCCAACGGCCACGTCTTCTTCGTGCAGCAGCTGCACCGCCAGCATGGGCAGGACGGGCAGCACGGGCAGCAGCAGCAGCCAGTGAGCCAGCAGCAGCAGCAGCAGCAGCAGCAGGAGCAGGAGCAGTGGCAGCAGCAGCAGCAGCAGCAGCACATGAGGCTGCCGCCCCCCCTGGCGGTGCACAACACGTTTCAGTTCCACCACGCGCTGGGGAAGGCCGCACGCTTCAGAGAGGCCGGGCTGTGGGCCGTGGACCCGCCCGAGTGAGTGGGGGGAGGAGGAGGGGGTGGAAATGAGGGGACACATGGATGCATGGACGCATGGGGCAATGGGGATATGGGCGCATGGGGGCATGGGTACATGGCCGCATCGGGACATGGGGGCATGGGTACATGGCCGCATCGGGACATGGGGGCATGGGGACATGGGCGCATGGGGGGAGCAGAGTTGTTATCCTGTATCAGTGTCCTGAGAGGCGCTCTTTGTTGTCTAACACGTGGCCATCCACTTGTACTGTGGACACATGTGCGTGTGCGTGTGCGTGTGCATGTGTGTGTGTGTGTATGCAGGTACTACAGTGACGGCAACTACGTGAGCATGGAGTACAGCACGCCACCATCGATCGAGGCCATGGAGCCAGGCATGCTGCGACACCAAGCCGCCATCCAACACTTCTATGTACGCCATGCCATACCATGCCACACCATGCCATCCTCTCTTATTCCTTTATCATGCCATTACCACACTTCTATTGCAATTTTCTGCAAAATCCCTTATCAGAATGCGCAATACACATCCACCACCTCATCCGTTCCCCCCCAACAACCCCCATCCTCTTCCCCCCCCCACCCGCCCACCCCCCGCCCACCCACCCACCCGCCCCCCCTCCCCCCCAGCACGTGGCGCGGAAGGCGTTTGCGCTGGCGTGGCTGCTGTCGCGCAAGCTCATCCTGCCACGCGTCACGTGCTTCTGCGACCGCTGGTGGGACAGCCTCACCCACCCGTGCCGCGCGCCCGGCAGCGACCGCGACCCGCCCTTCGCCTGCCCCATCGACTACCTCATCTCGCCGCTCTACTGGGGGGGCAACGCCACGGATATGGTGTACCGCCCGGCTGGGTTTCTTGAAGATCCCAGGACCAGCGCTGAGATCAAGGCTTCTCGGTGGGTGGGTGTAGGGGGGCTGGATGGCTGGTGATGGGTGCAGGCAGGCGTGGGAGGGGTGGGTGGGTCCTTAGATCCTTTCATTTCTGGCCCTTCGCCTGCCCCGTGGACTGGGGGGGTGGAGGGAGGGTGTGAGTGAGGGGCAGAGGCAATAGTGGGCAGGGGTGGTTGGGATGGGGGGCGTTTCATTGGGGGAAGAATGGTAGGAGAGGAAGATATATGGAGAAGGGAGGGTCGATGGTGCTGGTGGTGCGCAGGGCAGTGTCATGATTGCCTCTCCCTGTCACTGCTGTCACCCTGGCCTGACCCTTGTTCATTGACTAGCCTCGTTGCTGTGTGCTGCACTGTGTGCTGAACTGTGTGCTGCACTGTGTGCTGAACTGTGTGCTGCACCGTGTGCTGAACTGTGTGCTGCACTGTGTGCTGAACTGTGTGCTGCACTGTGTGCTGAACTGTGTGCTGCACTGTGTGCTGAACTGTGTGCTGCACTGTGTGCTGAACTGTGTGCTGCACTGTGTGCTGAACTGTGTGCTGCACTGTGTGCTGCAGACGGTACGTGTCCATTGACTACCCGGGCTCGCCCCTGCCCCAACAACAGCAGCAGCAGCAGCAGCAGCAGCAGCAGCAGCAGCAGCAGCAGCAGCAGCAGGGGAACCAGCAGCAACAAGAGCAGCGGCGGCAGCTGCTGCAGCAGCCACCGGACCCGTTGTCAGTGTATGGCGAGGTGCGGGTGCCGATGAACGCCACGGACCAGGAGGTGCTGGCGGTGCTGGGGCAGCCGGACGTGCATGCCGTGCGCGTGCTGCACCTGCTGCAGCCACACGACACCTTCTGCAGGTCAGAACTTCTTGCCAGTGCTGTTCTCACTGCTGTTCTCACTGCTGTTCTCACTGCTGTCCTCACTGCTGTTCTCGCTGCTGTTCTCACTGCTGTTCTCACTGCTGTTCTCGCTGCTGTTCTCGCTGCTGTTCTCGCTGCTGTTCTCGCTGCTGTTCTCGCTGCTGTTCTCGCTGCTGTTCTCGCTGCTGTTCTCGCTGCTGTTCTCGCTGCTGTTCTCGCTGCTGTTCTCGCTGCTGTTCTCGCTGCTGTTCTCGCTGCTGTTCTCGCTGCTGTTCTCGCTGCTGTTCTCGCTGCTGTTCTCGCTGCTGTTCTCGCTGCTGTTCTCGCTGCTGTTCTCGCTGCTGTTCTCGCTGCTGTCCTCGCTGCTGTCCTCGCTGCTGTCCTCGCTGTTGTCCTCGCTGCTGTCCTCGCTGCTGTCCTCGCTGCTGTCCTCGCTGCTGTTCTCGCTGCTGTTCTCGCTGCTGTTCTCGCTGCTGTTCTCGCTGCTGTTCTCGCTGCTGTTCTCGCTGCTGTTCTCGCTGCTGTTCTCGCTGCTGTTCTCGCTGCTGTTCTCGCTGCTGTTCTCGCTGCTGTTCTCGCTGCTGTTCTCGCTGCTGTTCTCGCTGCTGTTCTCGCTGCTGTTCTCGCTGCTGTTCTCGCTGCTGTTCTCGCTGCTGTTCTCGCTGCTGTTCTCGCTGCTGTTCTCGCTGCTGTTCTCGCTGCTGTTCTCGCTGCTGTTCTCGCTGCTGTTCTCGCTGCTGTTCTCGCTGCTGTTCTCGCTGCTGTTCTCGCTGCTGTTCTCGCTGCTGTTCTCGCTGCTGTTCTCGCTGCTGTTCTCGCTGCTGTTCTCGCTGCTGTCCTCGCTGCTGTCCTCGCTGCTGTCCTCGCTGCTGTCCTCGCTGCTGTCCTCGCTGCTGTCCTCGCTGCTGTCCTCGCTGCTGTCCTCGCTGCTGTCCTCGCTGCTGTCCTCGCTGCTGTCCTCGCTGCTGTTCTCGCTGCTGTTCTCGCTGCTGTTCTCGCTGCTGTTCTCGCTGCTGTTCTCGCTGCTGTTCTCGCTGCTGTTCTCGCTGCTGTTCTCGCTGCTGTTCTCGCTGCTGTTCTCGCTGCTGTTCTCGCTGCTGTCCTCGCTGCTGTCCTCGCTGCTGTCCTCGCTGCTGTCCTCGCTGCTGTCCTCGCTGCTGTCCTCGCTGCTGTCCTCGCTGCTGTTCGCGCTGCTGTTCTCGCTGCTGTTCTCGCTGCTGTTCTCGCTGCTGTTCTCGCTGCTGCTCTCGCTGCTGCTCTCGCTGCTGCTCTCGCTGCTGCTCTCGCTGCTGCTCTCGCTGCTGCTCTCGCTGCTGCTCTCGCTGCTGCTCTCGCTGCTGCTCTCGCTGCTGCTCTCGCTGCTGCTCTCGCTGCTGCTCTCGCTGCTGCTCTCGCTGCTGCTCTCGCTGCTGCTCTCGCTGCTGTTCTCGCTGCTGTTCTCGCTGCTGCTCTCGCTGCTGCTCTCGCTGCTGCTCTCGCTGCTGCTCTCGCTGCTGCTCTCGCTGCTGCTCTCGCTGCTGCTCTCGCTGCTGCTCTCGCTGCTGCTCTCGCTGCTGCTCTCGCTGCTGCTCTCGCTGCTGCTCTCGCTGCTGCTCTCGCTGCTGCTCTCGCTGCTGCTCTCGCTGCTGCTCTCGCTGCTGCTCTCGCTGCTGCTCTCGCTGCTGCTCTCGCTGCTGCTCTCGCTGCTGCTCTCGCTGCTGCTCTCGCTGCTGCTCTCGCTGCTGCTCTCGCTGCTGCTCTCGCTGCTGCTCTCGCTGCTGCTCTCGCTGCTGTTCTCGCTGCTGTTCTCGCTGCTGTTCTCGCTGCTGTTCTCACTGCTGTTCCTGCCGCTGTTATCACTGCTAGTGCAGCAAGCTTTTGTGTCCACTCAGAAGCAGTGCAGGGAGCGTGCGAGGCAAGGTGTGGATGGCGAGCAGTGCCCTCTAACTCTCCATCTCTTCTCTCGCATTCCTCCCTTCGCATCCCTCTCTGCGCTGCAGGTTCGTGCGGCACGAGGATGCAGATGCGTTTGACTCGTACACATGGCAGTTCTTCTCGCAGGACTGGTGCTGCACGCCGGACCACGAGACGCGCACCTTCTCCATCCCTGCCATAGCGCACACCTCCTTCTCCCACTGCAACCGCCCCCACCTAGACCAAAGACCAATGCCCTTGTGAAATATTCTTGTATTTATTGGAGCTGCTGCTTTTTATGCATCTCGTGCCACTTGTGTTTGCCTCTCCTCTCCACACCACCGCCACCACTAGGGTACCATACCACACCAGCTCCAGCCACCCACTTGGTCAATTAACGGTCAGCTAGCAGTCAATTACCGGTAGTGTTCACCGGAATACAGTACTGCACCACTGGTTGACCTAGTGCTGCTGCATCGGCTGAGCACAGCTCAATAACATTCCCCATGCTGTGGAAGGTTTCCGCAAAGAGTGACGCCAGTTTCAATGTGGTTCCAGGTAACCATATATGAAGGGTCACATCACATTACATACTAGTACAGTACAGTACAGCAGGAGAGGTCAACAAGTACATTTAGAGCATAGCATCCCCTCCCCTGGCATGTGTGAACAGGAAGAGCAGTCAGTGGCGCTTGGCGCTTGGCGCTAGGCGTTTGGCGCTCGGAGCACCATGGCCTTACTATGTGCCATGCCATGCCATGCAAGGGCATAAGCCGCCATGCAAAAGAGAGTCATGTCACGTCAATCGGGAAAGGAGGAGAGGGAGGAAACAGGGCGGGATGGGAAAGGGAGGCCCACCGGGACAGGGGGCAGCGTGTAACAAGTGGGGGAGAGCCAAGCGGTGCCCAGCAAAAGGGCAGATGCTTGGGGAAAAATGTGAGTCCACTAGGGTGAGTTGGTTGAAACTTGAGACAGGTGCGCGCAGGGGAGGAGAGAAAATGGAGGACTAACTTACGAGGTTCCCAGAGGCCAAAGTGACATGCAGTGAGTGGGGAGAGGAGAGGGGAGGAGGAGAGGAGAGGAGGAGGAGAGGGGGAGGATAGGAGGAAAGGAGGGGAGGAGAGGAGCTAGAGGGGGAGGAAAAAGGTTAGTGGAGTGGGAGCCGTCCATGCTTACTCGTTTGACAAGCCGTGGACGCCGCAGCGTGCTGCTTCAGTCAGCGTATGCCCAGTCAGCCACTGCCGATCCGAAGCAGCCCAGCGGCCAGCCAGCCCCAAGTATAGCAGATAGCATGCCCCAATGCGGCGACATCCACAGCTGCCTGCTCTCCTCAGGACTAAAAGACAAAAGGCCCCACTGGTTCCTGGTCACCAGTATCCTCTATAAGAGCATCATCACGTAGCGCAGTGGTAGTGGTAGTGTGGTAAGGTATCCCCTGCTAGTTTCAGTAGGGACCAGCTGCATTCCCCATATTAGCCTCCCCCACCTTAGCACCCCCACATAAACATATCAATTCAGGTACACTCGTTGTACACCATTCCCTACTGCCACTCTCTCCGCCACCTTCCCCCTCACTACCCCCCCCCCAGGCTTCCCCCTCCCGCTGCTCTCTTTCCCCCCAGCCTTCCCCTCCCCAACACCCCTCCCCGGCCCCATCCAACCATGCGCGCCCGCTGCTCCGCCCTCCCCTCCTCCGCCCTCTGGCCTCTGCGCGCCCGCTCCGCGCCTTATCTGCTTGCTTCCCCCAGCCTCCACGCGCGCGCGGAGGGCGGGCGGCGCAATGGGACCGGCGGGAGCGGAGCTGGTGGAAATGTGGGAGCAGGAGGAGCGCGCGGAGGACGAGGAGAGGGACGACAGCGTGCGCAGCAGGCGAGGGGGAGGCGGAAGCTGCTGCGCGTCCTCCTCCGCTTGGAGCGCCGGACCTAGCGCGGAGGGCGGAGCGAGTGAGCGCGCCGGCGGGGCGGAAATCGAACGGGAGGAGTTAGCGGAGGGGCGGCATGACAGAAGGTGCGGGGGGATGAAATTAGTGGTGGCGGACGCAGAAGGCGGAAGCGGACCCGACCAATGCTGCGGAAGATGAGGGGGAGGCGGAGTCCCCATGGGAAAGAACGGCTTTCCGCCAGCGCCGCCGCTACCGCCGCTTGCGGCACTACTGCCCGCGAGGCGTCCCACCACTCGTGCGCGCAGCGCCGCTTTGACGCATTGCGGAGGCTGCCGCTGCATCCACTGCTGATCGTCCTCCCCGCCTTCCCCGCGCCGCCGCTGCTGCTGCTGCTGCTGCTGCTGCTGCGGCTGCGGCAGCGGCGCGCGATGGTTTTGCGCGTCCCAGTCCAAGACACCGCCGTGCCCCGCGCTCCCAGAGGACCCGGTCCGCTCGTGCGCGCCCCTCACGGGCACGCCGCCCGCGGGCGGAGACCCGCCAAACTCCGGCGCGGGCGGCATTCTACCGCTTCTCCCCTTCAATATATCCGGGGGCCTTCGCCGTGCCGCGCTGTCAACAGTGCAGGACCGCCGCAGGCTGCGCTCGGGACTGCTCCACTCGCCCTCCTCCCCATCGTCGTCCTCCTCCTCCGCCGCCGCCGCGGTCGCCGCCACAACGCCGTGATTCGGCGACACTGATTGCACGTTAATCCTCGGTGCAAGGTCAATCAGCCCGCCAGTTCCGCTCTTCCGAGTCGCCGTTCTCGCCCTGCCCGTGCTCGCCGCCCGTCTTTCCCGCCCGTCGACGCCCACCGTGTGCCGCCGAATCACCATCCCCCCGCCGCCGCTGCCGCCGCTGTCGCTCCCCCCACTCTCCTCCTCGTCGTCCTCTACGCGAGGCGGCTTCCGCGCCGCACGAGGCGGAAGCCACGCCGCCTCTGGCGCTTGCGCCCCCCTTTGCGCCCGCGGGGCCGGCCGACCCGCGGAGGCTCTGCCCCTGCCAGTGGATTGCGCGCGGCCTCTTGCTTGCGCCACCTCGCTGCCGGCAGTTAATCGATCGCCGTCTGCTGGCGAGTTCACCTCCACGTCATCACCGTTCCACGTCATCGCCATGTGGTCGCCCTCCTCGTTGCCGTACAGATCCCCGCAATCCGTCACCCAAACAGGTGCGCCGACGGCGCCCATGCCGCCGCCAGCCGCCTTAGCGTGGTTCTTCAGCCAGTCGATCTTCCCGTCGAACGATCGTCGGCGGCCGGCACGCGCGTCAGATGCAACCAGCGCCTGCTGCGGGGGGGCGGCACGCCTGGCGCCGGGGTCTTGCGCCTGCTGCGAGTTGTTGCGCAGCGAACCTGCCGCCGCGTCGCCGTCGTTCGTCGCATAGAGATCGCCGATGTCGTCGAGGATCCCGACTGGGTTCGCCCCGTCGCTCCAGTCGCCGCTCGACCGCCTTGCCTTGACCGACTCGGGCTCCTTCCGCGGACCCGCGGCGTGGCCGTGCGCAGCCTGTGCCCCGACCTTACTGCTCGCGGTGCGTTTGTTAGTAGTACTGCTGTTGCTGTTGCTGCCGCCCAACAATGAGGACTCTCCGTCACCGGCGCCCCCTGTGGGCGGTGCGGGGCTCCTCCTATTGCTGCCGTTCCCCATGACAGTGCTTCCGGCGTTGGGATCGCGGCTCGTGCTTTCGCACGGCTTATTCGGTGCGCCAGTGTGGCGGTAGCGGGTGGGGACGGAGCTCTCCGCTGGGGGGAGGGATGCGAGGAGCTTCCGTGCGACCTCCGCTTGGCAGTCGGAGTACCGCCGGAGGGCGCCCATGTGGGATTCTTCAGACGCAGATGAGTGCTAAGTACAACACGCGTAGAGACTGCTAGATTGGAACCACTTGAAAGGGCTGTGTGAGAGCTGGTCTTGCACCACTGATCTTCACCCAAGAGTGTGAATGAGGTTTCAGGCTACATGACCGGAGAAACTGAACTTGTTTTGGAGTGAGCTGGCGACGAGCCAAGCACAAAGGTCGCGATCTTCCCACGCAAGTTTAAGGCCGCACCAAGTTTGAAACAGCTCTCGTGTTACTGGCGGAATCAGACAGAAAGCTTTCCTTTCGGTAACGGAAATGTGGAATTTTGCGGGAAGGCAATGTGAGGAATGCGGACTGCTGTGCCCGGGCGTTTGGCGGTTCCCTCCCCGCGCAAGCAGCTGGTGGTTGAGGCAGATACGGAGATCTGGCGGGAGATACAGGCGGGGGACATTTGACAGGTGGCGCGGTGGTCAGGTGGGGGTGATGTATTGCACGCGTACCAGTGTCCCACGAGTTGACTGTGCGAAGGACGCTAAACGACGCAAATTTAAGTAATCAGGGCAGGAAATAAATTACTAACAGAAAACTGTGATTAGACTAAACATATATTGCCGTACTTCCACACCACTGCCGTGTCTCCCGACTCAAATGCTCAAACGAATTAACCAGATGCTCGAAGAAAGCACCAGAGTCCAGGGTATTAGGAGTTGAACCAATGCCTGCTTGACGGCTGGTCGTACACCTTCTCACCTGTTCCTGTCTTTCTGAACGGCAGCCAGCATGTCCTTACGGATGCCGACAAAGTCCATACCCCCTTCTCTACCAGTGAGAAGGCCTCACAGCTGGCAAGACGCCCAATCGCGGATGCACATTGTAATGTACAGATTGATAATAGCATAACAAAAGTATGATAAACACAAAATGGGCTGCACTGCACTGCCATGGAGTTTAGGACACTACCCTGCTCCTTCACTTCATCTAACATGTATTCTACAGCCCAATACCCCATGGCAGTGCAGTTCCAGCGAGCAGGTCTTGCCACATCCTATTCTTAGCTCCTCGATTCCTTGGGCGTATTCTCCGTCTCTTGCATCCTTTTCAGAGCACGAAGCACGGCCTCAGCAGCAGCATGCGGAAGTGGTACAGCAGCAGTGCAGGTAGGGAAGTTCAGACGGGCTTTCTTGCCTCTCAAGAGCCGAGCAGCCGTGTCATACGCACGGGCTGCATCCTCAGGCTCATCGTAGCTACCCAACCAAATGCGGCTGCGCCTGCGTGGCTCACGAATCTCAGCAACCCAGCGTCCCCACCTTCTCTGGCGAACTCCCTTGTAATGAGGTCCTTTGTAACGAGGAAGCAAGGCAGCAGGCTCGACAACAGGGGCGGAGGAGGTCTCTGATGCTGGGCTGAAAGGGTGGGAGCCAGCCAGGTGTGCAAGCAGTGATGTTGCCACAGCAGTAGACGACACATGGGGGAGCTCAGGCTGAGAGGGAGCAAGCAGCAGATACGGGACAGCAAAATTCCGGCTAGCAGATCCGAGCACGGTTCCAGAGCTTCCACCGAACATAGTGCTGTATGGCATGATGGTGTCATGTGACGCAGCAGAAGCAGCAGCAGCAGGGAGACCAGCTTCGCCATCCAGGAGCATGCCGTTGCAATCCGCCATGTAGTGAGGGAACGACTTTTGAGGCAACTCAAAAGCCGCCATGTCGTGAGGGAACGAGTGAAGCCCTGGTGCCTCCAGCACATCGCTGTCGGCCACAGATGTAGAGTCGAGGGGGAAGGCATACGCCGCTGTTGAAGCAGCAACGCCAGACGGCAGCGCCTGCAGCGACTGTAGTGGCTGTAGCACGGTGGAGTCGCTGCCCTCGGCGTCTCCCGGCGCCATCATGCCAATGTCGCGCTGCAGGCTCTCGAACAGCGCCGCCGCCTCCTCCTCCTCCTCAGCGACCTTCCGCCGCTGCTGCTGCGCCGAGACGGAGGCGGACAACACCTGTGCGACGAAATCCGGCGAACTGGCTGCTGCTGCTGCTGCTGCTGCCTGGGCCTTCACGTTCTTGGGAAGCGTCTTCGCCGTGGTGCTCGCAGCACTAGCAGTCACGTTGGTGCTGTCCCGTATGCTCGTGGCGAGCAGCGGAAGGCACTTGGCGAGGGCGGATGATGCCCGTTCCAGCCACTGAAGATGCTGCAGCGCCCTGTGCTGGTCGTCCGCCCGACCGCCCGCCAAACGACTGCCTTCCTGATTTTTCTGACCGTCCTTCGCGTCAGGGATATCATTCAGTAAAGAGCTCGCGCTCGCGCTCGTGGCGTGCAGGAGGGCTTGCAGGTCGTCGTAGGCGCGCTGCTCGTCCCGCGGACGGGCCGCCGCCGCGTCGGCCGGCGCGCCAGCGTCGCCGTGACCATGCAGCTGGTCGTCGTCGGCATTCGCGGCAACTACTGGTAGTGCTAGCATTCCGTCACGGTGAGGATCATCTGACTCCGTCTGCGCGCCTTGGAAGAAAAGGTCGAGCTCTCCTTGCGACAGGAATTCGAAACTCGCATCCATGGAAACCGCTTTCACACCGAGTCGTGTTCGGTTAAGTTACGGCGTAGTGGCCAAACGAGAATCGTAGTAATACTAGTTTTTTTAATCGACAGCACCGTGACTCAAAGCCTACTGATAAGCTTACGCTATCTTCAGAGCGCTCTTCTGCAATGCTGCAAGTGGGATTCTTGAATGTCTCTCCGGCACTAGCTTCCTTATACGCTGAAATAGCGTCACTCAAGCACGTCTGCGATGGCCCCGCGGCGCGCGCAGCGGACAAGGGCGACCACAGGGCGCTGCTACTACCACCAGCGTCAGTACTACTGAGTAGTAACCACAGGATGACGCGGGCGAATCCTCGTTGATACCCTCGGTAGGGGTGGAATGAGGGGGGTGGCGACAGAGAGGGCGAGTGGGCACCGACCCTTGAGGGGCGGTGCTAGAGAGCGTATAGCCTAGATTGTGATTCGCGACGCGGGTGAGGCTGTGAAAGCGAGACCTTGATGTGGACAGTAGCGGCGGCAGGGAGGGCAGCGGAGGGAGAACTAGCGGGAGGGGGGGGGAGGCAGTCGAGACTGGCGAAGACTAACGATCGAAGCAGCTGGACCAGCCGGAGATTGGGCACGAAGGTCACCTCGCCTCGTGTGGCTGGCTTGCTTTGAGCGAGATCTTCTCAGGTAGAACTGCCGCCATTTCAAGGCTGTATTGCAGCCGCTAGGAGAAAGAAACGTTGACGGGGAACATTGTTGCTGCTGCATTTCCCTCTCTTGGTTCATTCCTCCCCTTGTGAAAGGCAGGCGAATCTGGCTGTTTAGATCTTGTCACTTGTGGTGTTTTTCGCCGGCCCCCGCATCGCGAACCAAGATGAAAGAGCGAATCATCGCGCTTCAATTTTGCTGTGCTGCTTTTGCGTGCGCGTCGGCGTGGTGAAGTGGGATTGGGCTGGGCGAGAAAGTGACGGTTTTCGCCAGCGAAACGTTCGCCTCAATTTTGGCAGTGTCAGTAACGTCCTTCTGAGCGACAAAACTTTTCAGGTCCAAGGCCGACGTGGCAGATCGCGAAGACAGCTGTGCGAAAAGTTGACGACGGTGGGGGTAGCAGAAGTGGTCGCTGGCCCACCTACTTTGACTGTAGTCCTCCTAGGGCCGCACCGACGTCAACTATCGTGAGAGCCGACAGATGGGTTGAGCCGACAGCGAACATCGAGTCAAGACCCACCTGCAAAATGCGAGATAGAGCTAATATTGCAGTATTCATGAAGACACACATATACACCTGAATAAACGATATATCTAGCACTCCATTATATATTTAGGGATAGTCTCATAATTTGGATTGTTAGGATGCACGCACTATCTGAATATAAATTGGGATCCTGGTACAAGTCGGTGGCCTGTCATTATTATCTCTTTTATTTTCCCTGTCAACTATCAAAATTGATGTTGTTTGTGCATCTGTGGCTGGGAGGGATACGCGCCGCTGTTACCGATAATTGATGCCATCTTCTTAAAGCCCCCGTCTCATAATTACTAGAGTTTTACACTTGGTTGGAGCAGGCAAACTCTGATTGGTAGGCGAGGTAAAAAAAAAAGACGAAAACGAAACGCAAGTGGCGAGACCATTTTGTTTCGGTAAAACACCCGAACCAAAAACAGGTTTGGGGAAGGGTGGCTCGCGATAGGTTTTGCACATCAGTCTGGAGGTTCGTTTTACATCGGACGGTGCAGAAACCAATTTTCCTGCACAGCCAAATTCCACTTCGTTTACAGCGGTAGATTTAGTTATACACTCGCTGAACCGTCGGATCTGAACTTCTAGAAGATCGAACGGTCCAACGTCCCCATTCTTCCGTGAACTTGCTCATTCTCATATTTCACTGCTGGTTTTACAATTGGTCTCGCCCCCCAGCAAGAAACACACTGTCCGAGGCACTTCCTTGCCTGTCTCTTCATATTCGCCAGCGTAACTGGGTACCAAGCATTTTACACTTGGTCGGATCGTAGAATTATGAGACGGGGGCTTTAACAGTTGCAGCAGCTGGATTAAGTTGAGCAGTTCAAAGATTTCGGATTCAACTTATTCTAGACACTGTTAAGTGGGAATACACTGAACTGAAATCACAATTTGTTAAGGAATAACTAGCAGTTGTGATTAAATCGTGGAGCAACAAATGCAAGCATCAGCACAAACGACTAACAGGCACAAGCCTCCTAATTCATGGCCAGCAGTTAATACAACCCTACATGCCAAACCATCAATAGGAACCCAGCTACCACAGGCACATGCCCATAGTTTCCCCATTCACAGCCTCGCCTGCTGCTGCAGCTGCAACACTTCAAGAGCAGCAGAGCGAGGGATGATGAGCGCATCATAATGGCTGCTTCCATTGTACAGCACGCAGATGGCGTCCTTGCTGCTGCTGATTCCCCCACCCTCCATTCCCTCCTCTCCCTCTTCCTTACCCCCATCGCCTGCATACTCGCGGCCATACTCGGCTATGGGCATGATGGCGCCAGAGCGTGGTGAGCGAGGGTCAGCAATGAACACAGTGATGGGGGACCTGGCGGGGGGTGGAGGGGCAGGAAGGAGGAGACGGAAGGATACATGGGCAGGACGGTCTGAGAAATGGATATGGAGAGCTGAGGGAGAGGATAAGGTGGGAGCAACAGCGGGAGGGGAGGGAACAAGCCATAGGCAGGTCGATAGCAGGGGACGGAAACGAGATGCAAAAAACAGTAGTTGGGAAAACGCTGGAAGGCGGAAAGCAGAGAGCAGAAGGAGGAGCGGGTGAGGCAAAGACAAAGGGGGCAGAAGAAGTGCTGTCAGTTACTTGAGCACATGGGAGAGCATGAGGAGCTCTGGCTCTCCACCCCACACGTATGGCTTGCGAATGTTGGCTACATAATCGTCAAAGTTGCCTTCCAGGAACCTGCAACAACCACACATGTCCCAGACAAGAGGCATACCGATGAGACAGTGGCTTTCCAGAGGAGGTGCAGACGACGGAAAGGGGAGAAGACGAGAAGATGAGAAGACGAGGCGAGAAGACGAGAAGACGAGGAGACGAGGAGACGTGCACGTGAATGGGAAAAACGCCGCTCGCACCCACCACTCAGTTTCTTCGCGCCGCTTCACGAACTCGTCCGCCACCTGGTTGCGCAGCGAGTCTGCGAACTGGCAGCGCGCGGCGAGCGCGGACGGCTGCGGCAGGGACGCGCGCACATGGTGGCCGTGCGCCACGGCGTGGAATAGGCATCGGCCGTCCCCGGGAATGCCTGATGGGAGGCGCGCGGCGCAAAACGACGGAGGGCAAAAGAAGGGGGGAGAGCACACGGTTTCAGCGGGTTCAGTCAACGGAAACGACAATAGCGGCCAGGAGAAGAGGACGGAAAAGACACCTAGTCGAGGTAGAGAAGCGCGAGGGAAGACCAGAGATCAGAAGTCGTTGGAAGTGCAGACGCTGACGATGACGAGCAACTTACGGACGACTTGGTAATCGGTCGTGGACGCCTTCCGCGCATCCACCGACGCGTGAACTGCGGCGCCACTCGCCGCCGCCTCGCACGCCACCGCGCGGACCGCTCCTGACTCCGGATCTTGCCCCGGGCGGGCAAGCGCGGCGGAGGCTGACGCGGCAGCCAGCGTCAGCATCGCGAGATGCACCGGCTGAATGGGCTTCGCGCGTGACGTGGCACCCAGCCCGCCGTGGCCCACGCTAAGAGCCGCGACGGCGCCGCGAATCACATCGTCTGAGGCGACTATGCGGCCGCCATCTGCCGCCTCCCCTAACCCCAAACTCCTACCGAGTGCTGCTGCCGCCACGAGCTCGCTCCGCCTCGCAGCGAGAAACACGGACAGCGGGCCCTCCCCGCCGCCGTAGAACCCGCTGGTGTATCCGCCGCCGCATGTCACGCCGCCACCGCCGCCGCCGCCGCCGACGGTCGCGTTTGCTGCGGCTGGGGCGCAGCCGCAGCCGATACCGAGAGGGTGCGGTCGGGAGGGGCGGAGGAGGAGAGCGCGGAGGAAGGGAGTGGAGCAGTGAACGGACGCCCAGCTGGGACTTAGTCGGAGAAGCTCCTTCGACGCTGCTGAAGCCACGTGCGACGCCCTCAGCTGCGACGCGCCGCCGCCGCCGCCTCCGCCACCAGGGCCGCCTCCGAAGCCTCGCCCGACGCTCGCGGCTAGTCCCGCGGCGCCTCTCGCGGTGCCGTGAAAGCCGCGGGGCGCGGCGCTGGAGTAGCCATCAGCGCAGGCGAACGCGTCACAGGCGATGCAGGAGGCGCAGTCGACGGCGCCGATCGCGGAAGCGGAAGCGGTTAAAGCGCCGACGGTGGAAGAGGTGGAGGGGGGGGCGGCGGAGATAGCGGAGGAAGAGGAGAGGGTGAGCGCGTCGAGCGAGGCGAGAGGGCGAGTGGCGGCGTCAGGGCATGCGATGACGCAGCGGGACGCGCTGACGGTGTGGATGGGAGTGAGGACGCGACGGGGAAGAGCGGCTGAATGGAGCAGCATGGCTCGGAGAGTGGGACAAGGATGGGATGGGGAGGATCAGAGTAGAATGATCGGAGAGCTACGGCAGTTGAGAGTGAGGGTACTGAACGAACGACGGCGACTAGAGGATGGACAGCGAGTGACAGGAGCTACGATCGACCGTTCGGCGACGAACGCGAAGAAGGCGGCGTGCGAGACATGGCGGTAACTGGGATGCGGAAGACGATCGCTATGAAATGGGGCAGCGCTGTTAGCGATGCACACTGACGGCGCAATGGCACGAGGCCTTGGGGAATAGAAGGCGAATATAAGAAATCCCAAAGACGATGGCAGCTTCCGGGAGCCGCGACGACAGAAACGTGGTGGAAGGCGGATGTCCTGGTTAAGACGTTACTAGGACGAATATGAAAACTGGAGTGAAGATGGCGTGATAGCTTGTGGCTACTGAGTCACGAGCAAATTCAGGAGGATATGCGAACGAAAAAAACAGCAGAAGACCATCTGTAAAGAAAGCTCTGCAGATAAATGCAGCAATGGGTGCTGAAGAAAGCGCGGCTCCAAGAAATGCAAGGGCCGGAACACGCAATGCCACCGTCAGCAGAAGGATGGAGAAGGCAAGTGTGGTTTCTGCTTGCCCCTGGGAAATGGCTCAGCTCTGGAGAGAGCTAGCTGATGGTGGAAGATGCGAGAAGGCGATGGAAACGATAACAAATGGTGGTGCTTTGAATGTGGTAAGGAACGGTAGCTACATTCATAGGACGAGAGGACCAAGGTCCAGGCATGGTGCTAGGGCGTGCAGGAGAGAGGTGCTGCTTGAATGGTGTTGCGTTACTGCTACTTGTCCGCTGTGCGACCACGCGACACACATGCGAAATAAGTGACGAATGGCAGCGGGCTTATCAGGGATCGTGACGAAGATTGACGACGAGATTCCCGCTCGCAGGGGTGTGAGCTTGACTGCACTGGATGCGTACGATCAACGCTTATGAGTGTGGCTTTCGCTTGTTCGATGGGTATGGTACGGCATGGCAGGGAGGGGGAAACCAGCAGGGTTGTGCGCCGCCACGCCGCACCACACACACGAGTGGCGGCGAACTCCATGGTCGTCGTCTCATCACTGACGGGTTCAGTCAGGGGGTTCATTGCGTCATCGCCAAGCGACCTGTGTGGTGATGACGATCCATTCACATTTTCACACTTCATGTGCGCCCAGCATCATCACCATGCCACATCGCCACAAACCTCGTTGCTGTTGGGTCCTCGGACCGTCCAATTACAGCTCCCCAGTCGACGTGGCTGTCTCCTCGAATGGCAGATATGGCCCGGAGTGACACGTGGAATTTCCTATGACGTGGCCTGCATTCAATTGCGGATGCTGGACACGCGAGCTTTCAAATTGGTGAGTCACGATAAATGTTCAAATATGTGCAGATACACGTCACTGAAAAGCACACATCGAATGTACAACCTGCGTTAAAGCCCGAGTTTAGAATGGTAGGAAGCCCGAGTTTAGAATGGTAGGAAGCCCGAGTACTGACCATGAAAACAGTGCCAACAAAACTGGGCGAAAGTAATTTCGGCAAAGTTCCGCTGACGAACAACGATTCTGGCGAAATCGCGGAACCATGATCGCATCACGGAAATTCTTCGGCACGAACCTAGGTCAACAGTGCGTGAACAGTGCCGCGGGGCGGGGGTTTGGGGGGAACAAACAGTGACTCGATACCCCCACAGAAATGCATTCAGAACGGTCGAAGGCAAAACTCAAGAATACTGAGATGAACAGTGACTTGGTGTTTGTCTTATCACGCGGCAGTCCCAAGCTTTCCCCCGTTTCCCATGAGTTGCGACGTTTTTCCAGTTTGTACCGCGTTACCCGTCATTTGACGAAAACAAGTTCAGGATTCCTGAACTTTATAGCAAACCATTCCTGAACTTGACCTAAGGCGCAAGCAGGCGTGCTTGTGCGCAACGTTGTTGGGGTCCACCGACAGGGGATCCTGAATCTCTGCTGCCTCCCCAATTCTCCGATTGTGGCACAGCGGATACCAGCTATAATCATGTTACCATGTTAACCATCGCGCTATATAACACCTACCTCTTCCCTCATAAATAAGGCATGAATTTAAAACGCGAGTATATAGGAACAGCGCCACACTTCTTAGAATGTAGAACAGGTGAACATATGTTCACCACTGTCAATTCTCGAGAGGAAAATAATCAAGGGAGCGAAATCGACGTCGAGGAAAGGCAAAGTGAAACTACATAGCATGTCCTTCTGCTGCATCACATCAGATTCACACCAGCTTCATCTGCTCAGAAATCAAATCACCCGGGAATACTGGCTGTGCTCAGGGCGACGCTTGCGGCCAGCCCTCCACAGTGCCCAGCCGAAGATGAGGAGAGCGACGAGAATCAGAATGAGTCCTCCAATTATCCACCCTACATTGCTGCTGCCTCCTGCCTCCTCTGCAACCCACTCGGCCAGAGTCTCATTCGAGGAAGATGCGGATGTGCTTGGGACCGTGCTCTGACGGGGGGGGGGAGGACAGGACCAAGATAAGACACAGGAAACCGGTAAAAACTGACTGGAGGAACTAAGGCAAACAACCATCTGCTACGAGTCGTGCATCGCTGCATGGGTGCATGGGCGCATGGGCGCATGGGCGCATGGGGCGCATGAGTGCATGGGTGCCCTGGGTCGCACCCACCTGCAGCTCCTCCGGCACGGAGTAGGGCGCAGCAATCTGCTGGCCTTCAGGCAGCGTGGCGCCCTCAGGCAGCGGGCCAGGGCGCATGACCAGCTCCGGCTTCTGGAAGGAGTCTCCCCCCGTGTGCTGCCACGGCGCCACATCCTGACTCAGGGCGGATGGGGGACGAGGGGACAAGCAAGCAGTGGGGGACAGGGGAGAGGGGCGACACATGGAGGAAGGAGTGGGGCACGAGGGCCCGTGAGAAAGGGAATTGGCAGAGCGAGAAAGGGGTAGAGCATGCCACATGAGGCATGGCAAGGAAACAGCACGGAAGGGAGGAGCTGGCATGAAGAATGGGAAGGAGAGGGAAGGACACTGCATGTGGTGACATAGGGATCAGGGGGGCACGGTGGGGAGGGAGGGGATATCCAAGGTGGAATCGAACGCGATGAAAGTGCTCCCCGTGCCATGCGCCAATACCACACGACCCATGCCACATGACCCATGCCACACGACCCATGCCACATGACCCCTGCCACATGACCCATGCCACATGACCCATGCCTCATGCACAATGCCACATGCCCCCCACCTTCCAGGTGGGCCCAGCGAGGTTGTTGAGAGCAAAGGTGGCGCGCTTGAGCTCATTGTTGCGGTCGCCCGTGTCGGGGTTGAAGGACATGGGCCCCGTGACGCCGTTGAAGCGGATGCCGTTGCCCGTGCGGTTCTTGAACACCTCCAGCACCAGCCGCGGCGTGATGCCCGATTGGCCTGGGCGGATGGCAGCGAGGGGCCGGTAGGAGTAGGGAGGATGAGGCAGGGAGGGAGAGGAGATGTTGACGACAAACAAAGACATGGCCTTGCTGAAAAAAATCATGGAACAGAGTGGGGAGAAGGGGACACAACACCAATTTTCCCCTCACAACCCCTCCCTTGCTCCCCACCACCCAACCCCCCACCCTCTCAACCTCTCCCCTATTCCTTGATCAACTCCGCACAACCCAACCAACTTTCTCGCCAACTTCTCGCCCACCCTCGTTCCCACCCTACCCCAGCATTTCCCCGGCCCATCCCCGGCCCATCCCCGGCCCATCCCCGGCTTATCCCCAGCCCATTCCCGGCCCATCCCCCGCCCGTTCTCTGCCCGGCCATCCCCAACCCATTCCCCGCCCATCCCCCGCCCATCCCCCACCCATCTCCGGCCCATCCCTGGCCCATCCCTGGCCCATCCCCGGCCCATCCCCGGCCCATCCCCCACCCATCTCCGGCCCAATCATTCGCCCATCCCCAAGGAGGCAGTGCGCCATCCCCCCGCAGCACGGCACATACGCTGCACGACGAGGATGTTCTCAAAGGCCTTGAAGAAGGCCCAGATGGCGTCGATGAGGTGCAGCACGTACGCACGCGGCTGCTCGAAGCGCGGGGTCACCGGCAGCGTGAGCAGCCCCGGGTACTCGCTGTGCTGCTGCTGCTGCCAGTACGCCCGGAACTCCTCAAAGGGTGATGCCGCGTTCGTGTCCGCCTTGCCGCCTGCCGTGCGGCGAGCAGGGGGGCGGGGGGGAGGTGGCGACGGGGGAAGGGAAAGAGTGGATGGAAGGGGAGAGGGAGGGATGGGGGGTGGAGGGGGGAGGGGGACGGGGGAAGGGTGGGGGAGAAGGATGCACAGATGAGTGGCTGGATGCGCGAGGGAGGAAGGAGGAAGGACCTTTGAAAGGCAGGAGAACGAAAAGATGGGAGGGTGGTAATGAGGGGCAGAGAGAGAAAGAGAGACGTGCTGGTGACAGGACGGCTTAAGGGGTACCCTGTGAGCGATGCAATAGAATGGGCGGAGCATTCAAGAACTGCGCTGGTGGCAGGACATGGGATGGCATGGTGGGAGAAGCTACGGGGAAAGGGGGCGCAGGAGAAAGGGGGTGGCACAGAGGAGGGGGGGATGCAGGAAAAGGGGGAGCACAGGGGAAGTGAGGCCACAGGGGAAGGGCGGGTATGTGGCGAGGAGAAACCGTGCGAGCAGCGAGCGTGCGACTCACGGTAGGGGCCGATGCCCAGCTCGCCCTGCAGTGCTGATCCCAGCGGGACTGAGCCCTTGTCTGGTGGGCACCAGGGAGCCAGAGGATAGAGGGCAGGGGGGAGGGGGGAGTGCGGCGGGGGGCAGGGGGCAGGGGGTAGGAGGGAGTGAGGCAGGGTTAACAGGACCACAAGGCTTCAACCCTTGTCAAATCAAGTCTATGCTCGGGCTGAAGACAATGGAATGTTGGCATGGGGAGAATAGCATGTGCAGAAGCAGGGGCTTCATGTGCCCTGGCAGATGATACTTGTGAGAGCTCTCATACGGGCGAATGGAATGGATGCATGCTCGCATGCACGCATCTGTGAGCAGGCACTTGCATGGTAGCGTGAGCATGGCATGGCAACTGCAGCACGGCATGGCAGCACGGCACGGCACACGGCATTGCATGGCAGTATGGCACGGCGTGCCCACATACCAATGCCGACGAGGTCAAAGGCAGTGCCGCCATCAGACACAAGGTACCACCAGGGGTAGCCCAGCAGACCCTGCCATCCACACCACCACAAGCGGTTCGGGGAAACGATGAGGCACCAGGGGATGGGACTGGGCGTCGGATAAAGAGCGGGGGGGATGGCCTCGAGTCCTATCCGACAGTGAGGCGAGGGAAAATTTACAAGAGACGAAACGACTTGTGTGCAAATATGCAAAGGAAGGGAGAGCAGGCAAGAGGGCATAGGAACGCAGGATGTGAGCAGGCAGGGGGAGAGCGGGACAGCAGGGCAGTGGGGCAGCGGGGGAGCGGGGGCGGATGTCTCACGAGGTCTTGAGCAGCGCGCCACAGCCCTTCAACGACGTTGGGCAGCGCGGCGAACACAACGACGGTGGAGTCGTTGGCGGTGATTAGGCGGCCGTTCACGTGGAACAACTGCTTCCACTCGTACATGGACGTCGGCGGCGGGTACGGCACCCGGATCGTTGTGGACCCCAGCTCCCTGCGCTGCGCATAGCTCTGAGGGTAACACGGGGGATGGGGGAACGGGAGGGAAGGGGGAAACAGGAGGGCGGAAGAAACAGGACGGGAGGGGGAGGAGAGGGGGGGGGAATGGTTGGGAGAGTGCGGATGGGGGGAAAGGAGGGCTGCAGAGCAGGGTTGAGGGAGGAGGGGGATGAGGGTTAGGAAAGAGAGGGAGAAGGGAAGGGAGGCAACAACGGGCATGACGAGGGCTGTTGCAGGGAGGACGGAAAATGGGGCATGAGAAAACGCAGCTAGCAACGTGTATCCCGCATGAGTGCACGCCCCATTGCCCACTCGCCACCAGCTACTCTCAGCATCCCTCAACAAGTTGAGGCACTGCACACGCGCGAGTGTGCGTGTGTGTGAAATGAGAGGTACTCGTGCCATGGCCTGCAGTTGGTTTGTGGAATTTGTGACTGGGAATCGTGAAGCGCACCAGGATGCCATCCCTGAGGTTGTTGCCGCACTGAGCATGAGAGCGTGTGTGTGTGTGCGAGCGTGCGCGCGGGACTGTGTGTGTGTGCGTGGGTGTATGTGCATGGGTGCATGTCTGTGAGAGAGTGCGATGAGAGCTGGTCGTGCCAAGGTGTTCAATTGGCTGGTGGGTGGGAAGTGTGGGGAGCACCTGGATATCGTCCCTGAGGTTGTTGCCGTATGTCTCATCGGAGTAGAACAGGTACACGCTCGTCCACCCGTACTGCCCTATCTGCACGGGGGAACCGGAAGCGAAAGGAAAGGAAGGGAGGGCGGGAGGGAGGGAAGAGGAGAGAGAGAAGGGGAGGATGGGGGGGGGAGAGAGGGAGAATGAGGGCGTTTGCATTGTATGGCAAGAAGGGATGGCTCTGGGACTGCTATGTGACAGGAACAACGCGAGACGACATGCTATTTAGTGTAATTAGGGGCTGCGGGGCTGGGCGGTGGGCAGGAGTGCATGGGAAGAGCAACGGTGGCGTGCAAGGGCAACGGCGCAAAAGCGAGAGTTGCTGGGCGCAGGAGAGGCGGGGGCGTCCTTACCACGTCCTGAATGGCCTTCGCCTGGAAGCGGTCGCTGTACCTGCAGTGAACACGCGGCACGGGGGCACGGGGAGCATTGGGGCCATTGGGGCACGGGAGACACGGGGGGTACGGGGGGCACGAGGGGCAAGGGGGACACGGGGGACACGGGGGGCACGCGGGCACGGGAAGAGGGGGACTGATTGGCGCCGGGCGACGGAGGAAATGGATAAGCGCGAGAAAAAGAATGGTAGGAGTTGCGTATCAGGGGTACAGGGGATGTCAGGAGCGCGCGAGGCTCGTGCGCGCGCACAACCATGATTGACAACGCGCGCGCGCGTCTGTCTCGACTCGGACGGCGCAACGCGGAAGGTGATGATGGGAGCGAGGAGAGGGAGGAGAGCGAGCAGAGAGACGGGAGAACGAGAAGCGCAACAACGGGAGGGGTTCTCAATTCGTTTGAAGGACGATTGGCTTGTTTATAGCGGGGCCGAAACGGAGAGGAGAGGGAAGCTCGAGCACAGGAGACATCTCCCGGGCTCAGTCCCAACGGATCGTAACGGAGCCGCGCGTATAACGCGTACACGGTGCGAAAGAAGGTGCTGTAGAGGTCCCCGGAGAAGGTGTCAGCTGTAGCGGCGAACGACACGAGCGGGATGTAGCGCGACCGCAGCACCTGGCTCGCGCCGCGCACTGCCTCCGAGCACGCCGGCCCCACCACGCCCACCACCAGATCCTCCACCAGTTTCTGCCAAGCAACACGTGTAGAGTCAACGAGGAAACCGCGTGTGACAAGTCCGCTTTTGAGTGACTCAAAACCAGATCCTCCACCAGTTTCTGCCCGCGCGCGGGGCGAAAGGGGGTTGCGGGGGCCGGGGGAGAGGAGATGGGAGGTGGGGGGGAGGCGAGGCACGGGAGGCGGGGTACCGGAGGCGGAGAGAGAACAGGGTAAGGAACGAAGGATGAGTAGGGAGAGGAGGAGGGTGAGGAACAAAGGAAAGGAGGATGGTAGCACACGCCGCGGTATTTCCTCCCACGACCAAACCTAGAGCATGAAGTCAGTATGCTTGTTGAATCATGAAGATTCGGAAGCGACAGAAATAGACGAGACAAGCCATGTTTTTCCGTCTCCGTTAATCTCCTCGCATCCGTCAGTCAACCTCGAGCTCCCCTCCGCCACTCCCATTCCACTTTCCCCCCGTTCAATGATCTCCGCTCCTCCGTGTCCGAGCCCCCAAGCCTGACCCGTGCTGCCACTCCGCTGTTTCATCTCGTCCCGCTCCCCAGCTCCCCCTGCGCGCCCCTTTTCTCGTGCATCCCCGCGTGCGCCTTGCATTCCCTGCTCGCGCATACATCCCCGCGAGCGCAAGCATCCTCCCCCCCCAGCAGCATCCTTCCTACCGCGCGTTGATCGCGTACCTCAGCGGCGTCAGCGGCGGCCTGCTGGTTGCAGTTGGAGTTAGCGATGAACGGCTTCACGCGCACCAGGTGCCGGTACTGCCGGCCCAACACGTCCACCGCTATGCGCGCCGCCGAGATCCTGATAGCAACCGAGGGTTCAAGTAACAAGCGAAGAAAATATAGAATGTTTCGCGATGTACAGCTGCTCGGGAGAGTCGCACGCCGTGTGCGCGCATGGATTCGTGAAGGAGTGTTGAAGAAGCATTTCTCTCGCGTGTTAGGAAAGTCTTCGGTTGCTGCAATATTTTTAAGGCAGAAGCTGTCCGAAAATATGTGATGCAAGAAACGTTCGACGGTGACTTACCACTCGTCGGCAAGCCTAGCTGGCACCGCTGAGTCGCCGTCGGGGAATGGGAGCAGGAATCCGAGACGGACGTCCTCCACAGCCGTGCCTTGCGACACGCACATCACCAGCACCAATGCTGCGAGCAGCGGCATCGCCGACGCCATGTTCTTCCGAGTTTCCATTTCGTAGTTCAACGGCTTCCCACGAAGTGGCCGACTGGAAATTGCCAGTCAATGTATCCGAAGTCAAGCAGAAAACAAGAACGAGCCTGTTTTTTTGGAGTTGGTTCTTCGTCGCCTCGCCTGGGGCACCTGGCGCACATCAGAATTGCAGGGAGGGGGGAATCAGTCCCAGGCAGAGAGGTTGGTTTGGACGGACCTTGGTTGGGAATCTCGAAACGGCGGTTGCGGGGGAATTGTGAGGCGCGAGGGGCAGGGGGAGGGGGGCGAGCAGTCGATCCGCGCAGCGAGAGAGACGGCCAGGCGGAAGTGGATTCTGCGGAGAGGGGGTTGGGGGAACGGGGGAGAGGAGAGGAGAGGAGAAGCGGGGAAGGGGCTGGCGGGGGAGGGAATACCACAACTCCGCGAGGACCTCCCTCATTGGCTGTTGGCTCTGATGGTGGGGGTGATTCCGCGCCTAGCAGGGCAGGAAAGGCGAGGGGCGGGCAACCACAACTGGGGAGATTCTCGATGTGCATGTGGGTCCTTGGGGGAGGGGGGAGAGGGGCCGCCACTGGTGAATACAACCTCGAGAGAGAGGAAATCCCGATGGCTTGGGCAAGAGTGGTCGTGAATTCGCCCCTCTAGCCCACCATCACCCTGAACAACCGGAGGTTCGGTAGTAGCAGCAGCACCACAGAATCCCATTACCTGGAGGTAAAGGGAGGTATAATGGGCAGTGTGTATTATGAACAACATAAGTCAAATGAGTTGACTTCGTAATATCCCACTAAGCATCCACTCATGGTAGAAATGAAAAAACAGGTGAAAAAAATGTATGGATAACACTGAATTATCTACACATGTTCCCTTTTCCAAGTTCCACGAAATTGTGTACATTGAGGTAACCATGGCAAAAAATATGATCATAACACAACGTGATCCTTGGAACCCTTCTTCATCCCTGAATGTCTACCATGATCTCTTGGGGATGCTTGCTTAGTTGATCAATTCAGCTCCATGTCTAAAGGCTTACGCCTCCCCTCTGGATAATACATCCCCTTATAACGAGTCTCCTGAATTAAAACTGATTTTTCAGAAGACCATTCCAGCGCTTCGCGGATTGTTCTGCCTTGCTGGCCAGTTGTGGCTGGAAGATCTCTCGTAGGGCGTGAAGGTCGCACGCGATTCGTAAAGCCCCACTTCAGCTCACGCGATTGGTGAGCCCTGGCCCCGCTGATCCTCACGTCAACCTATCACCGGTTCCCTCCCCGTTGGGTCAGCAGGGAATTGACATCCAATTTTCCGCAGGTCAGAGCAGCCCAGTCCAGGGGCAGAACTCCCACCCAGCCTTCTCTTCTTCTGCTCAGTCACCTGCTGGATTCTGCATTTGCTGAATTCTCCGCAACCTCCACACGGCAGCTTTCCTAGTCATCCCAGACTTGTGTTCGGTCAATCACGCTCGCCGAACAATGGCTGCTGTTACGTGCCAGACAACGGCTACTATTGCCAGGTTCGGCTCTGTGTCGAATGCGCAGGCCACACGAAAAGCCAGTGTGCCTCGTGCTGCTTTTCTTGGCCAACGCCTCAGTATCAGCTCAAGCAGCAGAGGTCAGGTTCCTATAGATCTTATTCGCAAATGACTAGACTGAGACGCCAGTAGGATCGTTTTCCTCCGTTCTGACTCATGCGTGTGTTATTTCGATCCTTCAGGGGTCGCCAAGGTTTCGAAATTCGTTGTGAGGGCGACCGCAGAGGATGAAGTGCCTCCGATTGTGACTCGGTCCAAGGAGCTACTTGAGGAAGCTAAGTCCAAGGCAAGCGCCCTTAAACAGCCGTCTTGGCGGTTCTAGTTCGGTCACTCACTATCCCTGTCGGCTTACCAAGCTGTTCTTGTGTCAGTGCAGTGGGAAACCATTGACGACAAAAGCACGGTTCTTCTCTACGGTGGTGGCGCCATTGTTGCACTCTGGCTGTCCTCCACGATTGTCTCTGCCGTCAACTCCATTCCGCTGGTAATGTGCAAATCAGTGGTAAATTTCTTCTTGGGAACTATAACTCTCTTAACTGGAGTTTTTTCGACCATTTGCAGCTCCCTAAGGTCCTCGAGCTAGTGGGCACGGTCTACACTGGCTGGTTCGCCTACCGATATCTCCTGTTCAAGGTTCGTGACAGTGCATGTCCGTTACATTGGATGTTACCTAGTAGTCGCGTTTCTGAGCAAGTTTTTTTTTTTTTTTTTTTTTGTGTGTCAACAGTCGAGCAGGAGGGAGCTGTCTCTTCTTATTGACGATATCAAGAGCAAGATCACCGACAAGAAGTAAAGTTTGTAGAGATGGAATCAGGCAATCCAGTTGAAGAAGCTCCTCTGGCACTCCTAGTGCCCGGTTCTGTTAACATAGTACCCTCTGAAACAATTATATCTCCTGGCAGTAGACTGGGCTTGATTTAAAGTACTCAACAGCACAATTCAATTTGTCTTGGCAGAGAAGTAAAGAATCTCAACAGGCATGTCAGCTCCATCAGCGTGTATCTTTGTCGATATAATCCCCTTCAAGAGTAGCTTTGGAGCCTGCATGATGAGAATGAAACACAACATGAGCGCCAATTCCAACAAAAATTCTACGAGCACCCAGTAAGACGGACCTCGGCAGTTGACAATTGTTGCAGAAACACCTTCCTGTTGGCTGGAAATCTATTGGTGGGATCCATTACAATAACGCGGGGATAACTGAAGATGACGAAAAGGCATAGAATGAGGGTTAGATAAGCAGATTAAACACATTCCAGCAGTCAGTATGACGGGAAGGTGGGTGAAATTGTGACTAACTTACCCAAAATCTGCACCATTTGATCGCCGCAGCAGGTTTGGCAGTAGTCTAGGTAGAAGAGACGAGGCGGAGCGGTCATAGAGCACATCACACGCTAGCACCTGGATGGAGATATCAGACGAGCACAAGTTTGGCTTCTTACTCCAGCTGGAGCAATTTCAGCACCCATTAGCATGAACCCCTAAAAAGTCCCCTTCATCCCAGCCCTCTTCAACCCTACACTCTCTTTCCATCTCCCAAACCCTGTCTCACACCTCAAAACAATAGAACAGCAGCTCATCTGGCTTCCGAACAAGAAGCCAACTCTTACCGTGTCAAATTTCTCTCCATAGTAGTCTCCATCGGACCAGTCAAGCACCTCGCCAGAAACCGTTGCTGCCTCTGTTCTGAATACAGCCCCACTCCATGACACTTGTGAACCCTCGAGTGCAGGCAGATGAACGTTAGGCCAAGCCGGGGGCATTGAAAGTGGGCTGTAATCTAGAGGCGATTGACACGAGGACTCTCTGGATGGGGATGGAAAAGACTTGGTGGTTTCTGTATCCTGGCTGAAATGGGGTTGCTGGTGGTGGTGGGGTGGAAGGGCGATGAGGGAGAGAAGCTGTTTCAAGGCACCTGACTGCTGTGCTGATGTCAACCATTGTTGAAGCGACTGTAAGGATGGGGGAGAGAGGCGAGACTGAGAAGAGGCGTCTTGCGGAAAGCTGTGAGCGTTGAAAAGGCTTGTGAGGAGGCACGAGAGAAGAGCTAGGGGCTCCCGGTCGAAGAACACCACTTCACGAGCACCTGCCAGTAGTGCTGCGAGGCCAGCAATGCCTGCAGCCATGGATGGCAACAACAGGACTAGTAAAGGTTAGTGACATTTCACGAGGGAATAGAAATTCTCAAGAAAGCAGCAAAAATAGAACTTCCTATTCAATGCTGGAGGCTGGACCTCTACAATGCTGCGTCTTCCTCGCCCCACCTACCTATTCCCGCACCCAAATCACACACACGGCGGCCCTGCACTGTCTCTGGGTGCGCAAGAATCTGAAGAGGGTCAGGATGAAGCATGCAGAGAAGGCAGGGTAGAACGACAGAAAAAGATCAGTGCCATGATTGACGCACCGCCACTTCGATCAAAATTTTCCTTGCTCTAGCACCCTCCTTGCCACCTCCTGCCTCCACCCCTATTCCCAAGTGTTCGTCTCTCACCTCTCGCAACATGGCTTGGGCGCAAGGCCACACCTGGCACCAGTAGGGGTCCTTGTGCTCGCCCTTTTCCGCCTCTGCCACCCACCAAGAAGATAACAAGCAGGATTGAGCTCACCCCCGGAACTCACACCCGAGGGTGCAACCACTGGCAGCGGCCAAAAGGGCCAAAGAGCTTAATGACAGCTGGCGTTTCTGCAAGCAGACACTCGGTTGAAGAAACGAAGGAGGTGGTAGAAGAGGAATGTGTGCATGTGCGTACCTCTTGCGATGTACATGTCTAGCACCGTGTCAAGGCAGCGAGGCTGAACCACCCGAACAGTGTGGCCAGCCACTGCGACCTGCCATGGGAGAGAATGTCAGACAGGGTCAACAAGCAACCAGCTGCCTGCATTACATCACAGAAAGGCAGTGCGCGGAGGGATCCTTAAAGGAATCATTCTAATAAAAACAATTTCCGTTTCCATTGCTGGAGGGGTCCTAGAGGACGTTGCCATTCCGCAGATTACGCAATGGTGTCTGTTCACCTCCACGACTTCAAGCTCTGGGATGAACAGCGGATCCAGGTACCCTGCCGTGACGTCGTCCGCCGCGTCTGCTCTGCTTGCCGACGCGCCGAGGGCATTCGCGTCAGCCAGGGACGCGGAGACACTGAGGAAACGTCGATGCCTTGGGACTCTCGCGACCTCCGAATGTGATCGAGGAGCGGAGGGGAGTGCTCTGCTTGAAGCGGATAGGTGACGTGAAAATACCCTACGGCTGCTGTCTCCTACGGCATTAAACTCTTGTGATAAGCATCTCGCCGTGAAATCAGCAACCTTTTGCTGTTTCTGCCCTGAAGAGGATCTGCGACGAGGCTGAGCAAGTGGGCATGGGTTTAGGCTAGGCGCCGTGGGTAAACGCCGAGCGCGCAGCCCTGATGCCTGAATACTCAACAGTTTATGGCGTATCGTCGCCGCGGCTGCAGCCATGGCGGATACTGCGATGGTGGTGACGCCGTGTTGAAAAGCAAAGATTGTCTTGGGGTTATGGATTTAGTAGTACGGTAGCTGGATTAGATGGATATACTGTAAGTGAGACACATTGCGTCATACACCCATTTTTACTTCCTGCTAAGGCTAATTTCAAGGCAAATTTGATCCGCCCTTTATTTGACCCAACAGAATGCCATATCTACCATACACAATGTCAGCATGTCATGTTGGGCAAGGTGCTTGAAGGTACCACCACTGTAAATTGAAAGGCTCAATTTGAAGTCTTGCAGCAAAAATCAACGGGTACCATGTCAGCTAGTAGGAGCTTTCCCCAAACTGCACGGCTGTCACTCCTTATCCCCATACCTAGAGCCATGCAGCTAGTTGACATGGCTTGCTCACATAAAATCGCAGTGCACAATTCCTCCTGGTGGTAGCAGCCAACCGCAGCTGTCAAACCATTACCCATTCACGATGCAATATCCTGCCACCTGCGCTTGGCCGTGACTACTCAGCAGAATTATGAAGGTTCATATGAAGGGTAAGATGTTCGACAAGACAGAAGCATCGCCATGACCCCATGTTGGTCTCGCTGTTAAATTGACAGGCATGCTTGCATGCTACAGGCATGAAGGTAGGCATTCCGAACATACCCCTACGTGGTTACACAGCAGGGGCTAGTACGCGGGGAGAAAGAGGGTGAATATTGAAATAATCACTTATAGGAATATCTTTACAGAGTCAGCATCTCAAATGCATTTAGATCTTGCCCCGGGGGCCAAGAGCAGCGGCCTTCTGGGGACCGTTCTGGATGGCAATGATGTCACCGGTGGAGTTGGCAGCGAAGTGACCGATGGCGCCAGCATAGCCGAGGATGAGCACCTTCAGAAGAATTCCCCTCTTGGTGAAAAGGCCGGCGAAGGTCTCGAAGAACTTGGCCTGTAGAGAAACAGAAATAACTGGTCAGACACCGACCTTACTTACGGTACATAATACACTTAACACTTGAGCTAACCTGCATGCCGTTGGGAAGAAAGCAAGGACATAAGCTAACCTGCATGCCGTTGTAAGGCGAGGCACCGTCGTTGCCGTACAGGTCCCAGGAACCAGTGGTGTTGCCGAGGTCCTTCAGGTCAAAGTACACGCTCTCATCACCGTACTTGGCGCGGGGAGCGGTGAACCTAACGGCCTTGGCGGGGGCAGCCTTCACATTGTTCTTCACAGCAAGCTTCTGGCCGCAGAAGGCGCTGGCGGAGATGGAGGCGGACACAGCGAGGGCGGCCATTGTGCTTGAGTGTAGTGAAGATAAGAGTTGGCTTGGGCGTTCAGAAAGCTACCAAGGAATAACAGAGTGACCGCTGGGCTAAATGACCCCAAGGCCCAACAGAATGATGGCTTCGGGCAGGTCAGCTGCGAACTTTCGCGAGAGGGGAGCTGCTGGTTTGCGATTGGTGCGAGATGGATAGGCCCTAGATTGCAGAAATCAAGCACGGGTAAGGCAGTCCAGCGTGGCAGTGTGTCGAGCATGTCAATGGATACTGAAATCCGCTACAAGGGCACCTGGTGGCTGTTCCGTGGCCACTCGGGCAAAATACGAGGGGCTTTACGAGAATCCTACAGTTCACTTAGGCTCACGTAGACGAACCTTCGAATAAGTGCTTTGCATAAACTACACTACACACATTATAAACAGCAACTCTCATGTGATTATTAACATAAACGTGTCATTGATTGAAGTAACAACAACGGCTACCATAGAATTTTTTTCAAGGTCAATAAAACTGAATGAAAGGATCAATGATTGATATAATTACTCACAACCATGGTGTCTAATGACTAAATGATAGTTGAAATACCTTAGCAAATATACAGAGCTAAATGATGATGGATATGTCTTCCCAGTCTGATGTGGGTTAGAAATGTTGAAGTGTACAAGATCATGACCACCTTAAACACGTGGTTTGCTTCAATAAGAAACATTTCACTATTTTAGCCTCTCTAACCCACCGGCTGGAACCGTCCTTAAAGCCTAACTTCATCAGGCTCTGCAAAAAGCACTTCTGATTTCTAATGACAACTCCATTGTCTTCCGTGAATCTGCCTGTGTCCTCCCATTCGCCCACCATGCTCAAGGTAAAGGTTCTCTTCTTCGCGCGAGCACGCGAGCTCGTTGGCGCTGCGGAGCAAACCCTAGAGCTGCCCGCGGACGCCGATTCCCGCGTGCTGCTCGAGCGCCTGCACGACGCGCACCCGCCGCTGCGCGACCTCGCGCAGAGCGTCGTGCTGGCCGTGAACCACGTGTACGTGTCGCCCAGCGACCCGCCGAAGGCTCTTAAAGACGGCGACGAGGTGGCTGTGATCCCGCCCATTAGCGGCGGATAGCTGCCCGCCTGTCGGAACACAGTGCTGCAGGGTCGTTGCTCTCCTCCACACACATCGCCTCTCACCTCTTCTTGCCTCGTTTCCTATCGCCTCATCTCTCACCGTTCTTCTCACGGCCTTTCCCTTCGCATTCCCCTTCGGCCCTCCTTCCTCCTCCCCTTCCCGCTCCTCGCCTCTCATCGTCTCCTTGCCGTGGCACATCGAGCATCATCCGCGCCGTCGTACACGTCAGCATTAGTCTTGATGTCAACATCCACGTCAGCGCCTGATTTACCAGCAGCACCGCCAGCAGCAGCAGCAGCAGCAAAAGCAGAAGCAGCAGAAGCAGAAGCAGCAGGGGGGGTTGGGGGGAGGGCATGGGAGAACGTGGGCGCAGACGTGCTGCTGGCTGTGCTGCAGCGGGTGGCAACGCGTGAGTGGGCTGTGTGCTGCTGTGTGTGCCGGCACTGGCGTCGCACGGCCATGGACGCCAGTCTCTGGCAGACAGCATGCCTCCGGGAGTTCGCCATCCGCCAAGCCTCGCACTCCCCCCTCGCCCACCTCCCCCTCCACTCACTCACTCCCCCCTCCTCCTCCCCTTCGTCTCTCCTCCCCCCTCTCTCCTCCCCCTTCCACCGCCTCTTCCCCCGCGCCTACCTCTCCCCCCACCGCCCCTACCTCTGCCTCGCCGCCCGCCTGGCCCACGTGCTCAGTGGCGTTGCCAAGTGGCGCGTACTCATTCGCTATCGCCGCAGCAGGGGAGGCAGGAGCATATGGGCATGGAGAGCAGTGCCGGCTGGTGTGGTGATGCAGGGAGGTGTGACTGTATGGGTGGCGTTCGATTTGGCGCCAGGGGGTAGGAGGGGCAATGATGGCACCATTAGGGGGAGGAGTGAGGAAGAGGGGGAAGGGGAGGAGAGTGAGGGTGAGGGGAGGAGAGGGGAGGGAGGGGGCGTTATGGGAGAACGGGAAGGGGAAGCTATGGAGGTGAAGGTGCAGGGGTTGTGGTCAGGGCTTGGTGCCACTGCCAACACACCGCCCGTGTGGATCACTCTCTTTCACACTCATGGTTCTCACTGTGGCGCTGCTGCTCATGGTGCTCCTGCTCATGGTGCGGCTGGTGGTATGGTGGAGGGACGGGAGTGGGTGGAGGATGAAATATCCGAGGATGAGGAGGGAGACGAGGAGGCGGGGCTGGAGAGGAATGGAGGAGGGGGAGGGGCAGGGGCAGCAGGCGGGCAGTGGGAGCGCGTGCAGCAGTCGCACATGACTGGCCTGTGCCTCTACTCAGGTGAACTTCTGTGCTGTGCTGTGCCGTGCCGTGCCGTGCCGTGCCGTGCCGTGCCGTGCCGTGCCCCGCCGTGCCGTGCCCCGCCGTGCCGTGCTGTGCGGTGCTGCACGTTTGTGCGATTCTTTCCCAACACCCATAGCACGGTTGGAGGGAAGGCTACGAGGGCATGAATGCAGGGCTGTGCCTTGCCTGTCGGTGCTCTGGTAGCAACAGCTGACACATCGATGCTAGTCAGCGTGTGTGTGGCCCCTCCCCTTTGAAGGTGCTAGTGTACCGATGCGTGCTGACGTGGCACCGATGCGTGCGTGTGTGTGCCTCATGCCCACCATCCTCCCACTCTTCGCACTCCCTCCCACTTCAGGCCACGACTGGAGCCTCCTCTCCTCCTTCTTCCGCGAAACCAGCTCCTCTCCACCCACCACCGACACCACTCCGTCCACCTCCTCCTCCTCCTCCTCCACCGCGTCTCTTTGCGGGCTCGGGTGGGCGGGCGGGCAGCAGGGGAGAGGGGATGACGGGGTGCACGGCGTGGTGTTCCTGCACGCTGTGCACGTGCTGCACTGCTTCCCTCTCCCGCTCCCACACACCACTCCCCTCTGCTCACCCAGACCCAACGCCACTGCCCCATCCCTCTCCTCCTCCTCCCTCCCCTCTCCACCCTCTCCCTTCTTCTCCACCCACCCGTGCCCCTCACTCCATGTCCTCATCGACCTGTGGCTGCCTCTTCCTCTCCACCTCTCACTCGTGCCCTCTCAAGGTGCCTCCTCGCCTCCTCGCCCAGTCTCTGCCTCACGCCCCTCTCTCTCACTTCCCCCTCTCTTTTTGCTTGCACTGCTCTCCTGACCCCTGCTCGATTTTCCTCTCCCTCTCGCCATATTCAGCCTCAGTGCTGTGGGAAGGGTAGTGTCCCGAGGAAGGGTAGTGTCCCGAGGAAGGGTAGTGTCCCGAGGAAGGGTAGTGTCCCGAGGAAGGGTAGTGTCCCGAGGAAGGGTAGTGTCCCGAGGAAGGGTAGTGTCCCGAGGAAGGGTAGTGTCCCGAGGAAGGGTAGTGTCCCGAGGAAGGGTAGTGTCCCGAGGAAGGGTAGTGTCCCGAGGAAGGGTAGTGTCCCGAGGAAGGGTAGTGTCCCCGGGAAGGGTAGTGTCCCCGGGATCCGCTCCAGGTATTGCTGCCCTCGTTACCTTGCAACCAACCCCCCTAATCTTGCAACCAACCCCCCTAATCTTGCAACCAGCCCCCCTCCTCTTGCAACCAACCCCCCTAATCTTGCAACCAGCCCCCCTCCTCTTGCAACCAACCCCCCTAATCTTGCAACCAGCCCCCCTCCTCTTGCAACCAACCCCCTTAATCTTGCAACCAGCCCCCCTCCCCTTGCAATAAACCCCCCTAATATTGCAACCAGCCCCCCTCCTCTTGCAACCAACCCCCCTAATCTTGCAACCAGCTCCCCTCCCCTTGCAACCAACCCCCCTAATGTTGCAACCAGCCCCCCTCTCCTTGCAACCAACCCCCCTCTCCTTGCACCCACCCCCCCTCTCCTTGCAACTAAACCCCCTAATTTTGTGATCAACCCCCCTCCCCGTGCAATCCCCCTCCTTGCAACCAACACCCCTAATATCTTAGCCAACCCCCTTCTCCTTGCAGTCAAACCCCCTCTCGTTGCAGCCAACCGCCCTCTCCTTGAACCCATGCCTGATCTCGTCCCCCAGCCATTCAGAGCCACCCATCTCCCACGGCCACCCCGTTTGCCCCTGCTGCATTCCTGCCTGTGCCTTGAACCCTCAAACGCACCTCACACTCTCATCCCCATCCCGTCCCTGTCTTCCTCCTCCCCCCCCCTTCTCTCCGCCCGACCCTGCAGCCCAAGCCATCGCTCTCCATGCTCTCCTCTTCCTCTCCCCTGCCGCGCCTCCCATTCGCCCCTCACATGCCTGCTCGTTGCTCAAGTGGGAGGGGGACGGCTGGCTGCTGTCGCCATCCCATGGCATGGAAGCACATCTAAACACACATGCATGCACGCATCTATGCAGCCATCCATGCACAGCTGAAAGCACACTCACATCCTCTTCACGGGACCATGGCTCTGCTGCCCCTCCTCTCGTCGCTGTGCTTAGTGACGCCCTGGCTGACGTCACCATCTTCTCAAGGTGCCTTCCTGCCATCACGAGCCAGCACCTCTGCTAACCATTGGTATTCGCAGTCGGTAGTCCCCGTCAGTAGATGCTAGTACAGTTTCCACCCTCCTCTCTCAGCTCGCCTCCTTCGTCCCCCCCTTTCGGACCCAACGCCACACCAAAGGATTTCCAGTGAAGTATCTCACCTGTTTGCGCCAATTTTCTGCTCCCCTCACCGTGCTCCCCCTGCCATGCAGTCAAGGGTGTGTGTTGCTGGGGCGTGCGGCAGTGGAGGTGTGGGAGTCTGAGGGGCAGGATGGAGATGGCAGCATGGCATGGCGGCTGCTGTTTGTGCCTGATGGCACGGATGAGCCCCTCTCTGCTAATGGCATAACCATTGAGTGGCGGGTGGGGAGGGGGAGGACAGGTCAGGGCAGGGTAAAGGGGGGTGAGGGAGAGGGTGGGGAGGTGAGAGGTGACCAAGAGGTCGCACAGGCAGCAGCAGCGGATGGGAAGGGAGCAGGTAGTGGGGCGGGTGGTGGGGAGGAGGGAGGCTGTTGGCATTTGGCTCTGCATTTGTCACCAGAGGGTGCACAGAGTGTGTTTGACAGCCATGCATGTGACAAGCTGTTGAGCTGATGATGCTATGGTGTGCTTTACATACACCGCATGCCATGAATGAATAAATGCTGCTGGCTGTTCATGGGAGACGAGACGACCTTTTAGGCATCCTGCTTTTTACTCCTGTACTGCCAATATCCTGCACCATTCAGTTCAGTGGCAGTGGTAAGAGGAATAACTTACGACTTTATTCGGAACGTATACGAATTGAGGTACTGGGGAGTGGAGGATGTGATGTGACCCTATGGATAGCCACTAACAGTGCAGTATGAGCAGCACAAAGAATGAATGGCAGGGTTATGGAAAGAACAGCCACCCGACGGAAGCAATCGTCAGGCCATTATCAAAGCAGTGATTCACTAATGACAGGCTTTATTTGGATCAGTCCTACAGCAACAGCGCATGTTGCATCACATGCCATCCTCTAAGCCCCTACTATCCAGAGCCGCCCTGCTACGCCACGCTGCTGCAGTGACTTCCCCCTCAGCCTCTCATGCCATGGCAGAAGAACACAGGGAGCCGCCTCAAAGAGAAGCGCAACAAAACCTTGCCATGTACCGACTCCCTTGCCTCGAGTGCCCTGAAGACGTGTTCCAACCGCGAGGAGCGGAGCAGGGAGGAGCTGGGCTGGAGGGAGGCGGGAACAGCTTGGTGCTGTTACAGGTCCTCGAGCCACTGCGCCCCACAGGGCATCAGCTAGTCCTCATGTGCTTGCACTTGGCCTTGCGCTCGTCTTGGCTGCTGCCTGCGCTGCCCCTTCCCCAGTGCGTGCTCCTGCACCTGTCCCCCCTGCGTCTGCCAAGCGCTCGCCTGTGCCTTGCTGCTTTTCGGCGACGGGGAGTGCTTCGGGGAGTGGCTGCTGCGACGGTGAAAGCTCTGGCTCTGTGCCAACCCCTGCTGCTGCTGCTGCTGCTGGTGCAGCTGGTGCTGGTGCTGGTGGTGCTGGTGCTGGTGGTGCTGCTGGTGGGGACTGGCATGTGGGAAGAGGGTGTGGAAGATGCGGGTGCAGGCGGCTATGAGGGCGCGCAGCAGGTTGAGCAACAGCACGATGAGGGACGTGGGCCAGTAGAGCGGGTGCAGGATGCGGAAGGAGAAGGAGATGATGTGCCGGAACATGCGCCCCACCTGCACGCATGCACACACAGGCAGCCCCACGCATCAAGGGGAGGAAGCCTTGCACTAGCAGACAAGCACCCTTTCAGCATGCACAAGCTCAGGGTAAAGAACACCATGCAGGGTAGTGGTTCAGAGTAGAGAGGGTCACGGATCATAGGGTTTGAGTGGGGGGTCTGAGAAGAGGGTCAGAGCAGAGGGTATGGAGAGCAGTGTACCGGGTAGAGTGTGTCGAGGGCGGAGCGGGCTGCTCTGCGCACGGGGCGCGTGGGGAAGAGTGGCCCCCCGGGCACAGCCATGGAGTGCAGCGCCACCTGCAGACGGATGGCTGTGGCCGACCGTAGATCAAGCCCTGGGGGACAGCGAGGGACCATGGGGTGGGGGGGGAGGTGGGGAGAGACAGGAAGGGCGATGAGTGAAGACAGCGGAGGGAAGTGCATGCATCGCAGCGCCACTGCAGGCTGGTTTCCGTGGAGGAGCGCACATTAAGATCTGGGGGGGAGGGGGGGGAGGAGAGGGGGAGAGAGGGAGTACCCTCAGAGAGAGTGCAGAGGAAGGTCGAGGATGGTTTTGGGGAGAGTAGTCTGCTTGATTGGCGCACACATGGCAGTCACTGCTAAAGGTGACACCAGAATTATCATGCTGAGCGGTTCAGAACGGTTGTGAGCGCGCTGACAGTACGGGCAATGAGGGCTTGCCTTTGAGGGCTGTGGATCGGTGCAGGAAGAGCAGGAGAACTGGCTCCACCTTGATGCGCTGCAACTGCACAGGGGGAGCGGGGCAATGGGCACGGGGGAAGGGGGAAGGGAAGGTATGGTCAAAGCGCACGGGTGGTGGTGGAGGTGGACGGAAATGGCGGATGTGATACATGTTGATGGCAATGGGAGGTGCGAGGAGCCCAAGAGAGCGAGAGAGAGGAGCGCACCTGGTTGGTGAGCTCTGTGACGAAGATGTCTGCTGTCGCCCCATGCAGCGCCTCCTGACGCGACGCCGCCGCCAGCAACGCAGGCAGACGTGCACCTGAAGGGAGAGGGACGCAGGGGCAGGAGGAGGAGGGAGGATGACAGGGGAGGGCGATCGGAACGTAGTCAGCACATGGGTGGGACAAAAAGGGAGACGTATGAGACCTGCGGCGGTCGAGGGCAGGGCATGTGTTATGTGACGCAGAGGGCGCGCAGCGCACCTGATTGGTAGAGGAAGAAGCAGCGAGCCACGGTGCAGAACATGTCCTTCTGGAACTGCGATAGAGGAGAGGGGCCGGAGGCGAAAGGGGGGAGCGGAGGGAAGGAGGGGAGGGGAGGGAAGGGGGAGCCGGAGGCGGGGGAAGAATGAGGAGATGGGGCAAAATCATAGGAAGAGCAGGTATGCGTACAAAAGAAGGAGCAAATAACCGCTACCATGGGGAACTGAACGGCATGACGTCTCTGGATGTTGTGTGTGAGCTTACGAGTGGCGGCACGAGGGCAAAGCGGTGCTCGTCCATCACAATGTGCTCCATCACAAACTGAAGGCACGGCACCAAGGATGGCAGGGGGGGAGAGGGAGAAGGATGGGAGATGACGGGGAGAGGGAGGAGGTGGAATGGGAGCTCGAGCTGCACAAGGGGGGGGCGAGCAGCAGGAGGAGGAGATACTAGAAAGGAGAGGACAGGCTTCGCTATGCACAGTGGTAAGTGCAAGCGGGCTAGAATACGGACAGGGATGTAGGTTGCGCTCAGCAAGGGGCATGCGTAAGAGTGAGTGAGTGTGTGTGGGGGGGGGGGAGTGGAGGGAGAGTGGGAGTGGGGGCGCGTGTGTGTGGAAAGGGGAGTGGGGAGGAGGTGGAAGTGGGTGTGCGTGTGTGTGAATCAAACCCAGGACACACATTGAAGAGAGGGCGAAAGCGTTGCTCATTGCTCTGCAAGTCGATCCTGGCATGGCACACAGCACACAGCACACAGCACGCAGCACACAGCACACAGCACACAGCACACAGCACACAGCACACAGCACAAGTCGAATGGGGTGGAAGAGGAGGCAATCAGCAACCTATCCCAGGGGCGCTGCAACAGACAACACGTGGCAGCAACATGACATGGCAGTAGCAAGAGGTTGAGGGGGCATGGGAGGGAGCCGAGGGAAAGTGAGGTAGTGGTGGGAGGGATGCGGGGAAGCGAGTGGTAATGATTGTGTGCATGTGTGCAGAGGGTGCGTGGCCGACGTCTGACCAGAAGATGCCTTCGACGCCCGTCATGAAGGCCCGTGTGTACCGGTGAATCTCCTCCGAGTGCGGCTTTGGCGAGCTGTACAGCTGCAGGGGGGGGGGGAGAGAGGCGGGGAGGAGAGGCAGGGAGGAGAGGCGGGGAGGAGAGGCAGGGAGGAGAGGCGGGGAAGAGAGGCAGGGAGGAGAGGCAAGGAGGAGAGGCAGGGAGGAGAGGCAAGGAGGAGAGGCAGGGAGGAGAGGCAGGGAGGAGAGGCAAGGAGGAGAGGCAGGGAGGAGAGGCAGGGAGGAGAGGCGGGGAGGAGAGGCGGGGAGAAGAGGCGGGGAGGAGAGGCAGGGAGGAGAGGCAGGGAGGAGAGGTTGGGAGGAGAGGCAGGGAGGAGAGGCGGGGAGGAGAGGCGGGGAGGAGAGGCGGGGAGGAGAGGCGGGGAGGAGAGGCGGGGAGGAGAGGCGGGGAGGAGAGGTGGGGAGGAGAGGCAGGGAGGAGAGGCGGGGAGGAGAGGCGGGGAGGAGAGGCGGGGAGAAGCAGATGCAGGGAAAGAGAGAGAGGGCGCGAGGAGCTTAGGCGCATGACCAGCAGAGAGGGGGAGAGGCAGTCACATGCACGTGATGGGGCAATGGGGACTTGGCCGGAGGATGCAGCATGGAGAAAGGCACAGTAATGGGTAGCAGACGCTGACAAAGGCAAGAAACCGGGAGGACGCAGAAGAAAGCAGAGAGCATTGGCGCGCAGTGCGCACCCATCTGTGGAGCAGGAGGGCGAATATCTGCGAGGAGAAGACGCAGCTCCACAGGGGCGCGAAGAGCGGCAGCAGCGCCGCCACAGACGCCTCGCTGTCCGCGTAGTGCTGCGCCAACACCTCGTAGAAGCACACCCGCTCACACTCCCCCCCTGCCGCCCCCCACAACCCCTGCCCCTGCTGCTGCTGCTTCTGCCAGGGATGATTCTGGGTGCCCTGGTCGTCTGCGTGCGCCAGCATCTGCCAGGGCTGCTCCCGCGGCAGCAGCATGCGCTCAAACGCAGTAGCACCCGCGGAGGTCGGAGGGGCGAGGAGCGCGTTGAGGGCGGGGGCGGGGGAGTCGGCGGCGCGGAGGGAGGAGAGGGAGGCGGAGGGGTCGCGGAGGAGCACGTCGTGCGCGTGGCCGTCGAGCTCGAACGCGATGTCCGTGAACAGCTGCCGCAGCACGCCCGCCCGCTGCGAGGGGGACTCCACCGCCTGCCAAGAGGGGGGGGGGGAGGCGGGGGGCGAAAACGGGTGACGGTGGGAACGCAGGGGGGAAAGGGGCAATTGCGAGGAGCTCGAACGCCATGTCCGTGAACAGCTGCCGCAGCACGCCCGCCCGCTGTAACCGCCCGCTGCAACGGCGACTCCACCGCCTGCCAGGGCGAAGAGCACGCGGATCGAGGCGGGAAAGCAGGCGGAGGATGGGGGGATGGGGAGAGGGGAAAAGCGAGCCTAGCTTGGTGCCTGAATATTCGCCTGTTGGCGCAAAGTGACCTCAAAGCGAGGACAAGAAGGGATAGACTAGAATAAGGGTAGGGTGATAGGGCGGCGAGGTGGTAGGGTAACAGGGTGGCAGGGTGGCAGGGTGGCAGGGTGGCAGGGTGAAAGGGTGGGAGTGCGACCTTTCTCAGCTTGCGCTGCACTTGCTCCACGAGGCCTCGTCTCACCGCCACCTCCAACACTTCACCCCGCGACCCACCCGCCTCGCGTCCGCTCCTCTGCTCCGCAACCCCCGCCATCGCCCCCTCGCCTTCCTCCTCCATTACACACGGAGGCCTCTGCTGCTCCTCCTCTTCCTCTTCCTCCACCACCTCCTCCTCCTCCTCGTTCTCCGCTCCCTCCTCTCGACCCATCTCGCCGGCTCGTAGCCTCTCTCGGAGTTCCGCCAAGCGCGCCTCCCCCTGTACGCCCATCCCTGCACTCGCGTATTCCCCCTCGTCTGTATGTCTAACAGTGGTCGCTTTAGTACCCGCCCTGCCGCTCCCCGCCCTTGCACGTTCGCCTACCCCTCCCGCTGCCGTAGCTGCCGCTGCTGCCGCTGGCGTTTCTGCGATCTCAACGCTCTCCACCGCGCTCCGTGCTCCCGCGGATCTGTCGGCTTCCGCCTTGCCGCGCGCGCACTGTTGCGCGCTAGCTTCGGTGCTGCTGCTGCCGGGAGCCCCATCCGCGCATGCTGCAGCGGTCAGCGCAGCCGCGAACCCCGGAAAAGGATCCATGTCATCGTGACACCCGCGCTGCACGGGGGGAGGACCCGAGGCGGCCCCGCAGCGGTGGCCTGGAGACGTCTGCGGAGCCAGCGGTGTGGGTAACGCGAACGCAAACTTTAACGCTAACGGTGACGCTAACGCTAACGCTAACGTTGACGCTGACGATGCGACGCGAGAAGCCCAAGGACGTGAATAGACCGCCGAGCTTAGACGAGATTCCACGCAGCGAAGCAGCTAACGGTCGCAAGGGGGAATCTGGTGGAAACACTCGCGATCTTCAGAGAGCAGGCAAGTGCAGCGTACGCGATGAACGCGCTGGCACGCGTGATGGATGCAGCCCTGACGACCTACGAGGCTGACGATCACAGCGACGAATCAAACTGGCGGGCGTCGCACCACATAGCAAGTTGCGCGTGCTGTGGGATGGAGAATGAGCGACGCGACAGGATAAGAGCTGCTTGTTACTGCCCTCTCGACTGAGGCACAGCAGCTTGAGGGAAAGAAATGCAGCAAAACGAATTGGCGAAACAACGGTGGAGGCCAGCTTAGTAAGAGGGCGGAGAACCTTTACTGGCTAAGGGAATTGAAGGTAGAAGAGCGTGGTTTCCGTCTGGCGTGTGGTCTTGGATGGAGAGGCGAGAGGGGGGATGGATGGATGAAGGCTGAGCTGGTAATGGCCTGTGATGAGCGAGCAGGCTGTGGAGCATGCGACCCTGCTTGCACCGCGGACTGGCTTCTGACGCCATCCGACGAGGCACGTCAAAGTGCAGGCTCGCGTGGCATGCAAGGCGTGGTTTGTGGCGGTATGGGATCGAGTCAACTGGAATACGGTGCAATGGGGTTGGCTTTATTGTTCGGATTCGGCGGGAATGGAATGTGAGCCACGGTGGGAGGGAGGAGGCGGATTTGATGGCTGACAGTAGAGGCTGGGGTGCGCTGGCGGCCAGCGAATCAGCGACCCACATTGATTTCGTCGATAGGCACGGACGGACGGATGTCCCGCGATCGGATCACCCCATCCCGCCCAGGACGCCCTGTCACGAGTCTGGAATACTCGCTTCTGTCATACTCGATAAATTTATATACGTACCAGTGTGGGAATGTCCTTCTAGAAGCGTGGTTTTCCAAAAAGTTGTTCATGTAGCTTCGTAACACGGTTGACATCTGGTCCTGATCTCACGTTCACCTCCTAGCGATTGAATCGCTGGCTTCTGACACACTACTCCTTCCTCAGCATCCTCTCGCATCTTCGTTGAGATTTACGAATCTCAGCCTAAGGCTAGATCCAAGCCAGCAGCTAGCCGCGACCCGGCGGTTTGACAGCCCGCAATCATGATGAATATATTCCGGCTTGCGGGTGACATGACGCACCTCATGAGTATAGTGGTGCTGCTTCTGAAAATAGTGACGATGAAATCTTGTGCTGGTGAGCCTCAGACCGTGTTTCGGAGGATTCGGGGTTCCAGGATTCTCCAGCTTACGCCATTCTCCCTATTCCCATTGCCGCAGGAATCTCGCTGAAGACACAGGAGCTGTACGTCATTATATTCGTGACTAGATACCTGGATCTCCTATACTCCTTCATCTCCGTTTACAACACAATGATGAAGCTCATCTTTCTTTCGAGCACCGTCGCGATCGTCTACTACATGCGTTACGACAAAGTGGTGCGGCAGAAATATGACAAGGATCATGATACCTTCCGTCACATCTTCCTTGTCATCCCGTGTTTCGTGCTCGCATTGCTCGTCAACAAGAAATTCACCATCACAGAGGTATGGAATGGGGGAAAGGTTGGGTCTTTAGGTGCTATTTGCGTTTCATCGACTGAACAGGGCGTCCTTCGTGGATCTTTCAGGTTCTTTGGGCCTTCTCAATATATCTGGAAGCGGTCGCCATTCTTCCGCAGCTTGTGCTTCTTCAAAGGACAAAGAATATCGACAATCTAACAGGAAACTACGTCTTTTTTCTCGGGTGAGGCACCAGAAACTTGTTCGCTTCTTTTATGTCGTCTCGCTGTTGCTGACCTATCGCCGATTGCAATTGCAGTGCATATCGTTCCCTTTACATCCTGAACTGGATATACCGCTACATGACGGAGAAGCACTACCGCCAATGGATTGGTAAGGATAAGGAATTTGTTATGTTTGCTGGATTCCCTGTGCATTTTTTCTCACCAACATGCTGTCTGCCTGCAGTCTGGATTTCGGGACTCGTCCAAACAGCTCTCTACGCTGACTTTTTCTATTACTACATCATCAGGTATGCAGATCTCCTTTGCTGTTGTGTGTTTGCTGGTTGTGGTCGTGGACTAAGTTGGTCAGTGTTGGCTTTTGCAGCTGGAAGAGCAATCAACGTCTGAGTCTTCCAGCCTAAACTACTTCCCTCATGCATGGCTCCAGTTGAGCACGTCTTTCAGACCTGATCTTGTGTGAAGATGAGTTTCATATCATACTGCTGAGCAGTGAATGGTATCTGGCCATCGAGTTCTAACTTAGCTTTCCTATTATAGCTTTCTGTGCTTGCTTGTCCCATTGTTATACCGTGACACCCTAAGAGCAGTGCTCTGCTCTTTTTTATGAATCTTGAATGGTGACAATTGCCATACCTGTCATATCACATGCACGTTAGTTACCTGGTGTTGATTGTGTCAACATATATATTTGTATATGTTTATAGGCTAGCTAGGAGCATACCATAGAGAGTACAACACTTAGAACAAAACTACCCTGTATGCCCTATTCTACTCAATTCGTTACCTTGAGATGGTATCACGCTAGGCTAGGTCCTCCTCGCCCACCCGCGCTTCCGCCTTAGCCCTAGTCCTAGCCCTAGTCTTAGCTCTAGTCCTAGCCCTAGTCCTAGCCTGCAGGCCCCGCTCGTCGCCCCGCGCTCGTAGGCCCCGCTCGTCACCCCGCGCTCGTAGGCCCCGCTCGTCGCCCTGCGCTCGCTGGCCAGCGCTCGTCGCCCCGCCCTCGTAGCCCCGCGCTTGCTGGCCCGCCCTCGTCGCCCCGCGCTCACTGGCCCGTGCTCGCTGGCCCACGCTCGTCGCCCCGCGCTCGCTGGCCAGCGCTCGTCGCCCCGCCCTCGTAGCCCCGCGCTCGCTGGCCCGCCCTCGTCGCCCCGTGCTGGCTGGCCCAGCTCGTCGTCCCGCGCACGTAGGCCCGCCCTCGTCGCCCCGCGCTCGCTGGCCCGTCCTCATAGCCCCGCGCTCGCTGGCCCGCCCTCGTCGCCCCACGCTCGCTGGCCCATGCTCGCTGGCCCACGCTCGCCGGCCCCGCGCTCGCTGGTCCACGCCCGCTGGCCCCGTGCTTGCTGGCCCACGCCTGCTGGCCCCGCGCTTGCTGGCCTGCGCTCGCCGGCTCCGCGCTCGCTGGCCCCGCGCGGACTGGCCCCCTAGCTCGCTGGCCCCTCATTAGCCGGCCCCGAGCTCCCCAGCCCCTTGCTCGCCGGCCCCCAGCTCGCCGCCGCTCACTAGCCGGCCCCTTCCTTGCCGGTCAGCCTCGCGCTGACCCCGGTCGCGCCGTGCTGCCGTGACGCCGTACCGTTGTCTCGCCGTGCCGCCGTGACACCATGCCGCTGTATCGCCGTGTCGCCATGTGGCCGTGCCGCCGTGTCGCTGTGCCGCTGTGCCGCCGTGTCGCTGTACCGCCATGTCGCCGTGTCGCCGTCAGCCGCTGAGGTCGTGGGATGGCGGACGCTGTGCTCATCGACCTTTGCCGTCACCTAGCAGGTCAACGCCAGGACGGGTACTCTCTGGCAGTTCATGTCGCTGGTCTGCTTCCCCGTCCCGCCGCACCTTGCTGTCCTCCTTGACGCCCCCACCCCTGGTGAGCGTGAGGCCTCTTCCACTGCTGCGCTTGCTCGTGCTGTCTGGGAGTCGGCGCGACGCCATAGCGCAGCTTGCTATTAGTCACGCCCTCCCCCTGTCTGAGCGTCCCCGCTTTACCACTGTAGCGAACGCTCAGGAATTCTTAGATGCAGTCGTTGCACGCCTCTACTGGCCGCTTGATCCTCCCCATGTTGTTCCCTGAACTTGCATCCTTCCCCACTGTCGTTGACCTTGTCACTCACCTCCGCGCCCTTGAGACTAGCTACCGCGCCGCTAGTACTGAGGCCCAGCTCACTGCATTTCCGCCGCTGTTTTGCGCTACCTTGTACCTCATTACCACACGCCTCCCGGACCGCCATGCCACTGCCCGCGACCACTTCCTTAGTCAACACCCAGGTGACCTCGCCTTACCGCCTTTGTCCTTGCCCTGTCCGAGATAGAGACCGGCTGGTGCACTATCGCTCAGTCTAGCGGTACTGCGGTGGTCCCTAACTTTCGAGCTGTGCTCCATCTTAGTGCACTTACTCTGACGTTTCTGCGGCTGTCACCGAGACAGCCCCTACCGCTGAGACCGACGCTGTGGCCTCAGCGTAGCCGCGTCAGGTTAGGGGCCGCCGCCCCAAGGGGGGGCGTGGTGGAGGGAAGGGTAATGGGGATGGTGGGGGTGGTGGACATGGGGGCGGGGACGGTGGTTCAGACGAGGGGACCAGGGCTGGTACCCCGGAGCAGCAGCAGGAGTAGCCTCAGCAACATCAGCAGCAGCAACCAAAGTCGCAACAGCAGCCGCAGCAGTGGGGCTGCCTCCCGCCAGGGTGGCCCAGTGCCTCTGGTGGTGGTGGCCGCGGTGACGGCCCTCGTAGCTCGGCGCCGGGTGGTAGCTTCGGCTATGTAGGTCGCCAGTACCAGCTCCAGACCGGCCCCTCTGTGGCACTCTGTGTGGCCGTCCCAGCCACACTACCGCAGGTGCTTCCGCCGCCTCAACGACCTCTTCCGTCTCCGCTTCAACCCTTCGCCAGACCTCCTCGACTAGCCCAGTCTGGTACGCCACTGTGTTCCGGTCTTTGAGATGGATATGGATCAGATTTGCTCTGCCTTGCATGCCATGTATGCTGCTAACTCCAGTATCCATATCTTATTACCTTGTGTTGCCTAGTGTAAGTGTGCCACCTGATTGTAGTGTAGACTCCCCTCCTACGTAAGGCATAGGACTGTCTACCTTGTTTAGCCCAGGCTCCACGCTAGCCCCTCCGCCGGGTGCCGCCACCGCTTCACTCTCTTTCGCGCTCGACTCTGGTGCATATTCCTGCTTCTTCCGTGACCACACTGCGCTCACGCCGCTTGCTGCCCCTGCCGCTGTCGCACTAGCTGACCCCTCCACAGGTCCGGTAGTTGCCCGTAGCTCCACTACCCTTCCCTGTCTGGCGGTTCCCTCGGGCTCTCTTACAGGCCTCCACATCCCCTCGTTCTCCAGGAACCTAGTTGGTGTCGGCCGTCTTCAGGACCTCGGCGTCACCACTATGTTCCCCGGACACGAGCTGTATACGGTCTGTACCGAGATCGTCACAAGTGCTCCCCTCACCACGTTCCCCCGGGACCCGGTGTCTGGCTTGTTTACGCTTGACACCGCGTCCCCCTTGGAAAGGACACCTCCCCAGGTGCCTGCATCTACCCAGGTTGCTGCGGCTTGCTCGTGTCGGTCGCTTACTCACCCGATGCTTCTGTGGCCCCACCGCCTAGGTCACATTGCCCTGCCGCGCCTGTGTCACATGTCCTAGCACGGTCTTGTCCTATATCTCTCTGCATCGCTCCCTGCCCTCCCTCCCTCGCCTGCGCCGCCGTGCACGCCTTGCGTCGAGGGTCGATTGCGCCGTGCTCCTCACTCCTCCACACTTCGCCCTGCTACTCCTCCTAAACCCTTCCTCCGTCCATCGGGAGTGCTGCTGCCCTTTGCAATAAGGTCATGGAGGACCAGCAGTACGAGCTTGCTTTCCTATCCGAGGCTGTGCCTCATCACTGCTCCATGCTACTAGTCCCTGAGGGTGACCCAGACGGCTTAGACATCCTGAGTCCTCGCACTTACGCTGAGGCGACCTCGGGACTCTTGGCCTCCCAGTGGATAGTTGCCATGGACGCGGAGATGGCATATTGGAGATCCACCGGCACCTACGACGACGCAGTTCCCCCACCTGGGGTGAATGTACTCGATGGCCGGTGGCTCTTCAAGGTGAAGTGCCCGCATAGAGAGCCGCCGGTATTCAAGGCGCGCTACGTTGCGAAAGGCTTCAGCGAGAATGAGGGTGTTGACTTCTTCCAGACCTTTGCCCCGACGCCGAAGACGACTATTCTTTGGGCGCTGCTATACGTAGCACAACAGCGTGACTACGGGCTGCACTCTCTTGACTTCTCGACAGCGTTTCCTCAGGGCACTCTGCACGAGCAGGTCTACCTGCGCCATCCATCAGTCTTCACCGGCACCTTCACCCCGAGGACCCAGTGGCTCCTCCGACGCTCGATTTATGGCCTGCGACATGCGCCCCGCGAGTGGCACGACAAACTGTGTGCTACATTAGCTGACATATAGCTCTTCTCGTCCTCTGCAGACCCTTCGCTCTTTGTTCACTCAGGCCAGACTCCGTTCTACATCCTTGTCTACGTAGACAACCTAGTCTTCGCTACTATAGACAGAGACGCACTGGCCTTCGTGAAGGTTGAGCTGCTGAGGAGACACACCTGCACTAACCTAGAAGAGCTACGCCGTTACCTTGGCTTGCAGATCTCCAAGGACAGAGCAGCGCGCACCATCACTCTCACACAGTCACACTTGGTGCGCCAGGTCCTTCAGAGGTTCCGTCTTCAGTTCTCCTCCGCACAGCCCACACCTCTGCCATTAGACCACAGGCTCTCGGCTCTAGTCCCTGACGATTCGGTAGACCCTTGTGGTCCGTACGCTGAGCTGGTGGGTTGCCTTATGTACTTGATGACTTGCATGCATCCAGATCTCGCATACCCTCTCAGCATCTTGGCTTGCTTTGTGGCGACAGGTAGACACCGACCACAGCACTTGTCGGCCGCTAAGTGGATTTTGCATTATCTAGCAAGTACATCGGGCATGGGGGTAGTGCTAGCAGGACGCAGGCCAGTGGTCCATACAGGACACACAGACGCTTCTTGGGCGGACGACGTTGAGTCGCTCAGGTCCTCCCAGGGCTACTGCTTTAGCCTTCGTTTAGGCGCCATCTCGTGGAGGTCCACCCGCTTGTCGTCTATTGCACAGTCTAGCTATGAGGCTGAGATCTACGCTGGTGCCATGGCGGCACAGGAGCTCCGCTGGCTGACCTTCTTACTCACAGACTTAGGTGAGCAGCCTAGCTCGGCACCGGTCTTGTACGCGGACAACAGGGTCATGTTCCTCATGTGTTAGGAGCCTTGACTCGAGGGCAGAGCGAAGCACATCCAGCTGCGGTACTTCCTCCTGCGCGAGCTACAGCATCGCCGCCAGGCCCGCGTAGTACACTTGGCCTCCCGTGCCAACACAGCTGATATCTTTACTAAGGCGCTTGCGCCTAAAGATTATCAGCAACTCTGTGTACAACTTGGTCTAGTTCCTGTAGCTCCTCACTTGCTAGGGCCTTGATTGTGTACTACTCCTTTATATATTCTCCTAACTAACCTTGTGGCTACTGTTCTAGTGGCCGGACTAGTAGTGCTGCCCTGGTTTGCTCTTGTCTTGTTTGTACCCTTGCTGACTGGTCTTCGGACCCTTGCCTCAGAGGCTGGA